TACGTACTTCGGGCAATCAAATTTTACACAATTCTCGATGTCCCCAACGACACTGAATGGCATAGGGCTACAATTTGCACACAGCTCTATCACATTACGAAAAGCACGGTCGCATGTAGTACAGTGCTGTGGATTTTCGAATAATTTACATGCAGTACTCGATTATTGGAACTTGGTATGATCGAATATTTGAATAACCGAACACTAATTGAGATACAATATTTTTAATGAATGTCATGTACAAGTTTCAATATTTTTTTTCGAGATACATGTAGCCGAATACCGGTAGCTCATATTTGAGGGAGTTTAAAAATGCAAATTAGGGGTAATATTCCAAACGGAAATTGGCAAATCAGGCATGTTAAGTGGCCGTCCACAAAAATTTGGCATTGTTTTAAATAAAACCGCTCAACTTTATACAAATAAAATTAAAGCACGAATGTTTTTCGTCATCTTCGCAAAACGGCTTGACACAGTTTTTGAATATTTTATTTGGCAATATGCTACCGGTACTCGGATATTCAGTGGCTGATCAAATATTCGGATATTTTGGTACCCGTATATTTGGAACAGCCCTACAAATGCAGTATTGTATTTACACTGTACATTGTACCTACAATGCAGCTGTGTACTTGCAACACAGTTCAATATAAGCCTGGTGTTTGTTCAGGATCATTTGCATTTTAAATCCAAAAAGCAACCTACCAAATTATTATTAACAAGCTTACTTGGATTAAAGGGAATGTACATCATTGGCTTTTGCTGTAATTTTCAGAAATGGAGTATTTGAGGGGTTAGTATAATATATCAAATATTGTTACACTGACATGTTTGAAGTTTTGTGTTCGAAAATGCTGGAAAAAAACCAAGAAAAACAAAAATGTTCAAGTAGTCTGGTTCCCTGACTCCACTAAAGATAAAATGGATCCATTTATAGATGCCGGAAAATTGTAAGGTAAGGGAACCAGTTTAGCTGACCTGCACCCGTTCATGAACATGTAACCAATAAGCAAACAAAATTCGGACTGAAGAAAGGTAAATTTGGAGCAGTAGTTGAAATATAGTTAGGTTTTTCCAACGGTGGTCGGCCGACCACTGTTGGAAATGTATACAAAAATACCATTTTCTTGAAAATGACTTCACACCAGGTGCCATAATTTTACAGGATGCTTTAGACTGTCATTTACTAACATCCTAGTAAGGTATTTCTTAAAAACTTGGTAGTTTTATTTTTCGATGTTTGCAAATGTTGTATATTCCCTTTAAAGATCGTACTGGTACTAAACACCCTGTGAAATGATTCCGTCTGGCTTGCTGTCATTTTGAAGAAATCAAGAAATGTAGTGATTTCCATCGATCAGTCAATTGACTGATTTTTTTGGAAAGAGTGATATCGTGTTTTGTGATCAAAAGCTAGGTTGTGCATGGTTTTTCACTGTTTTCTCGAAAAGTGTAATATCCACTGAGCTGAAACTTTAACAGGTTCGGTTTTGAACATTCCTCCTTGGATTTTGAGTGGTGTTATTTTCGGAAACGAACAAAATGCATGAAAACTTAAAGCAAATTATGATTTTATATGCCTTTAATTGGCCTATTCACGTGAAGCAGTTATCTTTAAAAAAAAAAAAAAAAAAAAAAAAAGTTTTGACAACAGCCAATACTAAATAAACATACATGTTGGCTTTTGGCAAACAAAGAGGGTGATTTTAAACAAGCTCCGACAAGGCACAAAAAGATCAAAAACATTTAAATAGCATGCAGTGACGTTTGCAAGAAATTTAGCAAACAACAATTTCAATCAACAAAAAAAAACTCCATCTTAATGAATTTAACACTGTATCAAAAAAACCCACTCTTAAAGATCAACTGCAAGCAATCAAAAAGGTGCACATTTTAATAAGATTCAAATATTAGGCCCCCCCCCCTCCCAAAAAAAAATGTTTAGTGTCCCTGCCCGCTTCCTTTTTGGAGGCCGCCTCCTTTTTTTTAATTAATATTTTTTTTTACTGAAAAAATGATACATTTTAAACAGTGACATCATTCTGGCCTCTTTGTCTGTTGCATTTAGCCCACAAAAAGCCGGTATGTCATTTCCTGAGTTCAATGGCGGCCATTTAAAAACAAACCTGGCGGCCATCTTAAAAAATAGCCTGGTTGGAGGGGGGAAAAAAAGGCCCTCCCACTTCCTTTTTTTTCTTCAAAAAGGCAGGACACTAAACATGTTTTTTTTTTATTTGGCCTTATTGATCACTATGGCTCAAGACCTTCTCTTAAATTGATTCAAATCCTGGCATATCTATATTTGTCTGAATGTCACTTTAATAAAGGAGCAGATTTGAACTCAAGTGAAATAGGAGTGCAGAAATTGCTCACGACAGCCACATCAGGATTTGCATGCCCTCAAATTCTGCAGTATTAGAGCATTTTGAGGGTCGTGAACTTGAGGATTTGTGAAAAAGAAGGGCGGAAGCCATGCAGTGGACTGCCAGCTTGTATCAGTGTGAAACGTGGATGACATTAGGCCCTAAAATGGCTCTATTTTGCAATGGAGCGTAGGTGTCCGTTTTCAAAAACGCGATGGATCATGCCTGCTTTGAGGATGGACTTTTTCCCAAAAGTCATTGGAGAATCCCCCCAAAGTTGAACAGAAAATGAAAGATGATGAAATAAGCTTTTATTTGATGTGTGTCTAAAACACCATGAATAAGTTGAAGGCTTGTGAGTATTTGTAATAATTTTGGGAAGTGCGTGAATTATCACTGAGGTCTATGGTAGTCTATTTACTGGTCTGTAACCATTGGAAACTTAGGCCAAGTAAACAAATTAAGTAGTTTCTAGTCTGACCATTTTTAAAAAACAAAAGAGGTGGGAGTTTTTTTTCCCCAAGATTTTTCAAGATGGCGGATGGATTCTTCCAATTTTCTCGACCATTTCGCCAATAAAAAATTGTAGAAATGGGAATATGGCCAAAGGTGTCCTAACCATTTCTAAGGAAGCCTATGAAAAAAAATGTGGTCATAATCAAGATTGAAGACAAATGGTATTTTCTGTTAAGGCAGGGTAAAAAAAATAAAATTGTTTCTCGTCCGAGCTTTTTGAAAAAAATGGAGGGCGTTTTTTTTGTTTTCCAAAGATGGCAGATTTTCTAAGATGGCGCATGATTATTTAATTTTCTCGACTCTTTCGCTGCCAGTGATACAAAATATTGTGTCCAAATGAGCCATCACCCTTTCCACAACAGAGCTACAATTTAGTTTGAAAAAAAATAAAAGATATTGCAAATGTAGGCCTAGGCTACAGTAGGGGCCTATGAATTTAAAAAGAAAAAAAAGAAAAAAAAAGAAGGCGGCAGGAAAAAAGCAGCAGGCACAGATGACAAACTGGTTAATTTTTTTACTTGGCCTAAATAAAACTTTTTTCAAATTTCCAAACTTGGAAATTATTTTAGGCCTACAAGTTTTTAAATTATATTTGCCGGACAATAAATCAGACAGATCATTAATAAGGCCAATTAAGGCAACCCGAATAATAAAGGCCTTTTTCAGAGGTTTGGAGAAGCCTTAATAAAATGGGGAAAAAGGTATGAAACATAGCCCTCTCTTTCTCTGTATTTTGAACACAGCGCGTGATGCATATGATTATCAATGTCACGCCCCAACTATCGCATCGGTCCCAACTATAGTTGGGCCTGTCCCAACTATAGTTGGGCCTGTCCCAACTGTAGTTCCACAGTTGGGCTGGCCCAACTATAGTTGGGCCTGTCCCAACTATAGTTAGGACGGTCCCAACTGTAAGTTCCACTGTTGGGCTGGCCCATCTATAGTTGGGCCACTCCGATCTTTTTATTTTGCGGTGTCCCAACTATAGTTTACATTGATGTACAACTGTAAAACGTTCCCTACAGCTCTGATACACGTCTGACTTTACTGGGGACCACTGAAATTAGCTATTGATGGGGCGAATCTATAGTTGGGCCACTCCAATCTTTTTATTTTGCGGTCCCAACTATAGTGTACATTGTTGTACGATTATAAAACATTCCCTACAACTCTAATACACATCTGACTTTACTTGGGACCAATGAAATTATCTATGGGTGGGGACCATCTGTAGTTGGGCCACCGCAATATTTTTATTTGGCGGTCCCAACTATAGTTTACATTGATGTGCGACGACTATAAAACATTCCCTACAGCTCTGTTACATACTGTCCGACTTTACTTGGGACCTTTGACATTAGCTATGGGTGGGGCCCATCTATAGTTGGCCGGCCATGGCAATCTTTGAATTTTGCAAAATGTTGCTGGACAGTCAACCCAGCAGCTGGACAACTCATCCAACTAGGCAGTACCACGTGACCGGTCAGCCTTGCGGCATGCATGCACGACGAATACACGGTGCCAGCGCCGCGGAACATTTAATCCAACAAGATCTATCAAGCATGAAGCATCCGGCGCAACTCCAGTCCTAACTATAGTTGGGCCGACCCAACTGCCGCACTATAGTTGGGACAGTCCCAACTATAGTTGGGACCGATGCGATAGTTGGGGCGTGACATCAACACACAATTCCGGCCTAGGCTGCCGGTATTAAAAGTACTTCACTTGTTAAGACAAGACGTCAAGACATCAATTTTACATCCGACGTTTTTACATGTATTTATCACTTTCCCAGGCACTATCCTACCACAAAATTCATGATACTACTCACCTACATGCCCATCAGATCCAAATCATGCATTTTTGAAAAGGGAATTTGCTGACTCCGCCGACTGCTCTTGAGATGAAAATAGAAAACTTCCAGTGTCCACATCAACCAAAAAATCCTTCTGTCAATGAGGATTTCTCGTGCATGTGTCGTGTGTGTGTGTACGTGCGCGACGGACGCTAAACCATACGACTGTTATGTGTACCTTTATAAGTGGACCTAAATGTGTGTACAATCATGTACGTACTAGTGATACATGCAACAGCTGAAGATTCCTCGAAGGCGTTTAGGCGTAGAGGGCGCACACACGTACACACGGTCGATCGAAAACTACGATCTCCAGTTTTGCTTGTGTCATTTTATCTCGCCGAGTAAGCGCTAATTTCTCTTCAAAATGGCATCGCAAGTGGAAGGATTCGTGAATTCTGTTGTTACGCTCTCAACAGAGGGTGAGTATGGGAAATCTAGACCTCATTTGCTCCAACATCCGACTTGTAGGCTAACGATTTAGATGTAGTTTCTTGCATCGCGCACATTGATCGTACTGCACTAGATTCGTGATAAATTGCAGACGCTGACTAACTTTAAACTCCAAGTTGGACGATAGATAGTGTAGGTTAAAGTAGGCCCTAAGCTAAACTATTCTACATGTTCATATGTACAGTGTTCTAAATTTGAACAAAGAGTAGGCGTATGTGCTTGATTTAAGTTAAAAAGGTCAAACTTTATTAAAAGCCAGTGGATATTTGGACGGTGCCGGTTTTACTTTTTGTAAACTTTCTTTCTCTTTGCTTTGGCTCATATTAAATTAAGCTTATGTTATATAGGTACGGTGGGTGCCAACATCCGAGAATTTTTTACATTGGCTTATCTAGCTCCCAGACCTATGTTCTTGAAACTCAATGGTTCTGGAGTCTGGAGTGCTGAATGGTAACACATGGCAACCGATGAAAACTGTGTGATGCCAGTTTGCTGGAGCCATCAACGACAACATCCTAACGTTTACTGAACGTGCTGAAACTTTAGATAGCCATATAATTACGATATGACGTACATTTACTGATGAGCAGGTCAGAGAATGCCTCTGTGAAAATATGTTTACTAAGAGAAAACCGGCGCTGCCAATATGAAACGACAAAACTTCTCTGTAGCTGAATTTGATATAGTCTAGAGCCTCTCCAAAAGTTGAAAAGGTTGTTGTCATGGTCGTAAATCACAATCAGGGAAATGACATGTTTGATTTCTTGTTCTTGTTACTAATAAACTTGATTTCCAATTTTAATTGACACAGGTAACTTTGCCCAGTTGTGCGAGGAGATCAACAAGAGTTTAGAGCTTCTCAAGAAGAACTCCTCCAACCTGGACATGATCTTAGAAACACTGGATCCCCAACTACACTCACTGGGCGTCTTAGCTGTCCTGTAAGTTTTTCAAGTGGCACAAAGTACACCAGACAAGTTATGTTCTGATAAACCCTCAGCTTCTTCGTGTGCAGGTTGGCCACCGTCGGCAATGTGTTTAATAAGAAATTCTTCTCAAGTCCGCGGCTTATCACAGTCACTAACACGACCTTCAAGAAAGCTTTAATTAACCCTCCGAGCAGCTTACATAAAAAAATCACACCCTGGAACCACATGGAGAACTTTATCACCACATGTGTTTATAGGTCAATAACCCTGGCATGCCTGTACATGCACAAGATATAGGTCATTCACATGGCCAGGGATTGTTTACAACCTGTCTGGGCTTCTGGCGGCACGGGGGGTTGACACAAAGAGATCGGCGGCACTTAGGGGTTGGCCACTAAGATCTCCCATTACTGCACAAAGGCATTGGGCGCCATCTTGGCTTCTGTCTTTCAACACTCCTTACTCAGGAGTGGGTAGGGTCTGGCCAATGGGAGTCTACAGGCTTGTAGTGTATAGTAGGGGTGAGGATTACATGGAAGCTTGGCCTTATTGGCCCATTGAAAAACAAATTATGCCCATATTTGGAAAATGTGGAGAATCAAATCACCGCTTCGCTGCTTGGAGGGTTAATATGTAACAGACAGTTTGTATATCACTTTGTTGTTGCTTTGGTTCACTAGCCACCGCCGGAGAGCTCAGACGATGCATTGTTGTCACGTTCACTGACCGAGATCAGAGATTGTCGCGCGTACTGCGCGATGTCGCGCAGAATGCACCTGGGGCGTTGCATTGTGAATTTAGGACTATAAACTACTTACTAGTAGTATTGCGCATGCCTACGTGAGGATTGTGAACGTTCACCCAATTAAACGATAAGAGGCACTGGATTTTTAGGAGTCCAAATTTCATTTGAACGGATAAACTGTCTTAAGTATTTGTGAATGAAAAATGAAGAGGTTTTTCCTCCCTTCTTCATATTACGTGGATTTCTAAAAACACCTGTTTGGGATTGCGAACAGCTGAACAGTGTTGTCCGCGTGTTACCGATGCATATTTATGTGACGTCCGTGAGCATAGCCATGACGAAACAGGCGTTCTAAGGCCTACATAATCTTGCGAAAACTTGTAAATTAACCTCTTAATTTCTTTTTCGGTTCTTTTCCTTCTAGTAACGTCAAATTCACTCTGCCGTCGGGCTCGGCGCCGGACTTCGAGACGCTCTTCTCCCAGACACAACTTTTCTTCAGCATGTGTAACGGGGAACAAGTCCGCTTTGCGACAGATAGCTGTGAGTTTTTAAAATCTTGCTGTGTCCCACAAAAAGGAGGAAATACTTTGTAAACAACCGTTCGGTTTTCCGGAGAGTTGTCAAGTCTAAATACACATCAGCAAGGTTCCCACAAAAATCTTGAAATAAAATTCCATGACTTTCCTGGAGAGAAATAAGTCTTTCCTTGACCAATTCCTACGCTGTTTTGGCATCTTAGGAGTCTATTTACAATACACTGGCCAGTCATCACACTGAGGCAAGGGACACCACTCCCTTTCAGCCTTCCAGTTTGACACAAGACCACTGAGCACCACAAAAGCATCAGAATGGTGCATTGAACATGCAACAAGTATAGATGCATAAAGAGGAAGTATATTTCTTTGCCACGAGTACCAGAACATGTAATTTTTTGGAAAGAATGTTGTCTTCATATATCATCTCAATGAAGGTCATTCATTGCAAAAATGATGATAAGACATGAATCTTGGACTGAGAAACATTTCCAATTTTGTTAGGAAATGCTTAGACAATTTTCGTGGCTCTCCATAGACTTTATTCACAACCGCTGAAGCGGCGTCAGGTTGCAACATTCTTTCCAATTTTTGTTGTTGTGGTTGACGCTACAGAAGCTGAACCATATCTTCTTCTTTGTCTCAGATGGCACCCTAGCCCACCAGTTCACCAGAGTCTTGATTGAGAAGAAGCAGTACCTTCGAGGCATCGAGATCCTCTGTAAGGCCATCAGTAAGATTCAGATGCACGCTGCTCAACTGACGTCCATTCACGCCGATCTCTGTCAGGTATAGAACTTTCTTGGCCAGCCCAAGGTTGGCAAACTATGGTAGGCCAGCATCGCAAATATAAACAATAGTTGTTAATGATTCCAAAGATATCATTTGATTGATGAAAATTTAAAAAAAACACCAACAAACGCTACCAAAGACTTCAATAAAATGCCTCTTTCTTACATAATAAAGGTGTTAATAATGCAACTTTTGGCAATGTATGATGCTAACAATGGCTTCAATTTCCTTTTTTTAATGCATTGATAATACTTGAATATCGGTTTTATACAGAAAATTTAATTTATTGCGAATTTGCAGTAAAAACTTTTAAAATTCACAGAGTTACTTCATGTAGATTGAATTGAAAGAATTTCGATTTCAATAATGTAAATTATTTAACCTAATTGTATTTTTTATATATATATTTTATTCACCAGTTATGTTTATTAGCCAAGTGTATGAAGCCTGCTCTACCGTTTCTGGATGTGGACATCACTGACATAAGCCAAGAGGTAGCATTCTTGTCAGTTTAATTATAATTGTAAATTATTTCATAAATACCTGGGACAGTTTACCCATTCCTATTGGTCAAGAGCCTGTCACGTGGGTGGTTTAACCCCCTTTTTCACACCAGTGAGAAGTGTTTAAAACTGCCACATGTTGCGCGGAGTAGTAAAAATATTTTGAATATATGGACATAAAAAAATCAAATTTATAGGCAAAATTACAATCTTCAATGTCGATAGTACGTAAACCATGACAAATTTGCAAAAAAAAATTGAAATAAAAAAAGGGAAAAAAGCTGGTCCCAGAGGGCCAGCCTAGTGTCCACTGACTGACTGACTGACCGTCACTTGTGAGCCGGGCAGTGCTATCATATAGGATTACCTGTAACACCAATGAATGGGCTCAATCCGGCCCACTGTGCAGACCAGATGCATGAAAAGACTTCCAGTGAATAGCCATTCTGAATCAATTGAATAGAATAATGTGCACTCTGGGACCAGCTTTACAAGACTAGCCTCGTCTTTGTGAGCATCTCAAGATATTAAGAAAATTACTGAGCATTCGAGTAAAGTTTCACAGTCGTTATACCGGTCGTTTGCTTTGGGTATTTTTTTGTCCGTAGGGCGGACTGTTTGACGCGACACATTTCCTGTGTTACTACTACTATGGAGGCATGATCTACGCGGCTCTCAAGAAGTGGGGAAGGTCCGTCTACTTCTTTGAAGTGGTGAGAAACAATTCTCTTGACAGTTACTCTTTTGACGGTCACTGTCAGACCGCAAACAATTTCAAAATTTAGAAGGTGAAATTTATAAAATCATTTCATCAGAACATGGGTCGATTTTTTTGAGTTCGATGTCTCATTCAAATGTTAATGAGGTTGTGGAATGCTCAAAGACATTTCCGTCATTTTTCGGGTATATGTAGCCTAAGGTGTGATGAAATAAAAACGACCATTGTTTCTGTCATGACATGAATACAAAAGGTAGTTTTGAGAGCTGTTTTTCAGGTCCTGTTTCGACCCGAACGTGCAATTTGTGTAAAAGTCGTCGTTGGGGGCAGCAAACAAAACATAGTAAATCGTGACGTAATAAACAGGACTCCCTATGCAGCGTAGTATAAACGAGTCCTGTTTATTACGTCACAATTTTTCTGATTTTATGAAGAACCCGACGCCTGTTGATTTCAATTATGCGCTCGCTGACCAACAAATTACTCGATGAATATCAGTTTTATAAACATATAAACGCACATTACAAAAGAATGGGACTTTGTGATTATGATGTATATGGGTCTACTCTACAATAAAAAAAGATAAAAAAACAAAACGACTTTCAGCATTCCACAACCTCTTTAATAACTTTTGTATCGCTAGAAGAATATCCATTTTAAAAGCAAATCTATTTTTCGGGTTGAAACTCAAAAATAGCATGGTCAAATCTTTGAATTAAAGCCAAACTGTTTTCCTGAACTTTCAGGCGATAACCACCCCTAGCCAAGCAGTCAGTCACATCATGTTGGAAGCCTACAAGAAATACATCGTGGTTTCGTTGATACACCACGGCAAACTCACAACCCTACCCAAGTACACGTCACTCGTCGTCGGTCGGTTTATCAAGGTATGTCGCTCATAGAAAGCTGAATTCTATGAGTGTGACGTATAATTGTATTTCTTGTCCTTGTCTGTTTTGTGTAAATGCTCTGTGACATTTTGTCCTTTGCTTGTGCTTAGTTTGACTTGTGATTGGCTTGTGATCGACTTGTGATTGACTTGTGATTGACTTGTGATTGACTTGTGATTGGCTTGTGATCGACTTGTGATTGACTTGTGATTGACTTGTGATTGACTCGTGATTGACTCGTGATTGACTCGTGATTGACTTGTGATTGACTTGTGATTTGACTTGTGATTGACTTGTGATTAGACTTGTGATTGACTCGTGATGGACTTGTGATTGTCTCGTGATTGACTTGCAAATTGACTTGTGTCCTGAGTTGTGATTGGACTTGTGATTGACTTGTGATTGACTTATGATTTGATTATGATGTCTTTATGCAGCCGCTCAGCCAACCCTACCATGAGCTTGCCAACGCGTACTCCACCAACAACCCCCAAGAAATAAGGGCGGTCATCCTCAAACACTCGGAGCAGTTCACAAGGGTAAGATATACAGTGTATTAATAAACCAAATATTTATTGGTTACAATACCCACTGCTGTATCAGATTCGAGCCAGCCATGCAAGCTCAGTGGTCGAGTGGTAAGACATCTGCACTAGCAAGCAGGAGGTCATGGGTTCGAGTCCCATCCGAGTAAGCTTGTGAAGTTTTTCTCGCAAACCCTCAGACAACATTGAGTATACAGTGTACATGAAATACGTCAAAACCCAATACTTAGAAGTTTAGTTCTGTTTGTAACTATTTGTTTAGGAACAGAACATGGGATTGGTGAAGCAAGTCGTGACATCGATGTTTGCCAAAAACATCCAGAGACTCACAAAGGTAGGAAACATCAAAATTCAGACAAAGTACTTTCTTCGCTTGCTCACTTCACAATGGATTTCGACAAAATTTTACAAAATAAATAAACAAAACGAAAAAAAAATAATCATAATTTACTTTGTTTACATGACAGACCTTCCTGACATTATCACTGAGTGATATCGCAAGACGGGTGCATCTCAACTCTGCGAAAGAAGCCGAACTCCACGTTCTGTCCATGGTAAGGACGAAAATCCATGTTCACTTTAGTAAATATTAAAGCCACGTAGGAGCATTTGCAACCAAAACGTTCCCACCTATTTAATGACAGAATCCTTGTTCAAAGTGAAGATAGGACTGGTATCAAATACCCTGTGAAATTATTCGGCCTGAAATGGTATCGTTTGGAAGAAAACAAACATTGAAGGTGGTTCGACAATAAGATGCCCACAGCGCAATTTTTTACGTTCGATAACAACGGAATCCTCTCAAAAGATATGTTACAAAAACTGTGCGTGCATTTTCTCTTTTTCTCAAAATGTCAACTCACTAAAACTTCAACAAGTTAGTTGATATGCACCCTACCTTAGATTTTGAGCAATGTTGTTTCTCCAAAATAAAGCAAATGATCTTATGTACCTTTAAATGTGTTAATGCTACATTTTTTATTCATGGTAAGAATGCCTTTTGGCTGCAATCTGACATTTTTTTTCTGTCCAAAAGCCACTATGGAATTCCAACTCCTCAAAATTACACAGGGTACTTTAAAAAGTTGACCAGTTTTAGTTTGGTTTTTAAGTAACTGCAAAATTTTGAGAACTTGTAATTTTGTTTTTTTAGATTGAGGAAGGACAGATTTACGCCAGCATCAGCAAGAAAGATGGGATGGTCAGTTTCCATGACAACCCCGAGAAGTATGATAACCCATCATTATTCAAACACTTGGAGGGCGAGGTTAGTAGTTAACATCTTCTAAATGTTCGTAAATTCTGTCTTTGTCTTGTCGTCTTTGTACGAATCTGACTGACTGACTGACTGACTTTCTGTCACTTGTGGGTCGGGCAGTGCTGTTGTATAGGATTACCCCATAACCCCAATGACGACTATTGTGTAGACCAGATGCATGATAAGACTACCAGTGTATAGCTGTTCTGAATCAATTGAATAGAAATTGATGCACTCTGGGACCAGCTTTGTTATTTGTACTTAATTTTACGGCAATTTCATTTTTCACTTCAAGATGCGGGAATGCATCCTACTCGATGAGAAGCTACGACAGATGGAACAAGAGATATCCGTCACGCCCCAGTTCATCCGCAAAGTAAGTCTGTGTGATTAACAACGATTTACTGCCCGTACTAGTTCTGAGTTTCACCACGAAAAATAGATTTCATGATGAAATTAATATTTATCTACCAATACAAAAGTTATTCACTTATGAATGAGACATTGAATGGAAAAAAAATCGTTCTACGTTAAATTCTGGAATTACTTTACAAATATGTATTATTTGTGGTCGAACAATAATTCAGTTTTTGCAGGAAGTGGTGTTAATTTTGGGATAAAAACATCAGATTATACTTTAAACGTAATATTTTTGTAAAAAAAAACACCATGTGACTCATGAGTCATTAGCATCAATTCTGAGTCATCATGATCGAGTCCACGTCCGAGTCTTTTGCCGATGTGACTCGATTAAGCCCGAGTCACTAAAATTGCAACTCGAGACGGACGCGAGTCCGAGTCCTGGATTTGAGTCCTACAACACTGTAGAAAGTTCTGCAAGTCATTTTTTGGGAACTTGTTTTCCTTTTTTTACAGAGCATGGGAATTCGCGAGGAAGAAGACCTATCAGTATTCGCAAGTGGCAGCAAGTAAGACAACTCTATAACCCGCATGGATACATACATGTAGGAACAGGAGGCTATAGATGTAGGGGGAAAAAGTCTTGGGCAAGTTTGAAGAAAAACAAAAAAAGTTGGTTGTCTACTGCCAAACATCTGGTACATTTTTTCCAAAAGAGGCAATATTGTTTTAATAAGGCACCATAACAGCGTAATTTTCCTGGTGTTAGCGGTCGTAATATCACCCTTATTGAGGCAATTTAACAGAATTACTCCAATCTTAAAATTAAGATTATAAAAAAATTTAATGTTTAAATTATAGTAACATGGACACTTTCATCAATAACGACAATAATCCCATTATTGTCTGTACACCAAGAAAGGTGTTTTTACGACACCCATTTTGCTCAGATATAAGGCCATATTGAACCATATCACTTCCAACTTGAAAATACGGCATTTAAATTACGAAAAAAAAGAAGTGTTGAGAATGTAAAGGCACCAGTTGGCTGATTTGTTTATGAAATAATGCTATTTCATTAAAATCCAATATGGTTGTCTTTGGCTGTGAAAATATTGCTAGTCAGTGTTTTCGATATCATGTTGATCACAGTGCAAGATCTGGCCCTAACAGGTTTAACAAGAGATGATCGGGTGTTACTTTAATAAGGGTGCAGACGTAAGTTACGTCACTAATCAACCACTACTCAACTAATGGTCCTCATCGGAACATGCTCACAGATTGGTAAACAGTCTTTAGAAAAACATCAGATAAGGCCAAGTTCGCGCAAGGACTATAGTTGACCAATGGTTAACTAACGTTTGCCCGAACTCTGTCTAGTCAACGGTGGTTGACTACGCTAGTCGACTATTTGGAACCAGCCTACTGGGGTTGGTTGCTGCACTGGTAACCAATAGCGGCGCGCATTCATAACGCTAGCAGAGAGCCAGGATCCAGAAGTTTTGCGATGACATTTTGACCAGCGTTTGACTAGAGACGTTCGCACGTTGCTATTACTGCGCAGGCGTAAGGTACAACACAAATCAACCACTAGTCGACTAATGGTCCTTGCCCGAACTTGGCCTAAGCTTCTAAAAAAATGAATTGAGTAGATTTAGTCTGCGTGTAAAAACAACGTAACCATATAATGTACAGCTGTAAATATATGACGTTATGCAAAGATATTTCATCTTTCGTTAGGAATCTTACGTGTTTTATTTCCCACAAGACAGTCAAAGTCTATTCTCATTGTCTCATATCGACTTGGCTTCCAAGATGTATTCACAGAAATGTTTTGGTTTTCGTTACATTTCAAATTGTTTGCTTATTTGCTAGGTCACGATTTGAAAACCTCTCATTCAATAGATTCTTTGTTAACACTAACCTCCCCAACTCCATCAAAATCCATCCCCCCATTTTGGTGGATTTCGGGGGACTTGGTCCTGCAGGCCTGGCTTGACTAAATATTGATGGAGTATGATGGACTTGGGCCTGGAGGCCTAAAGCAAAGCATGCATTGGAAGCAGTGTGATTGATGGATGTTGACGGACTTGGTCCAGTACTTAGTTAGGGTTTATGTGCAACTTCTATGTGGGCCTACAGTCAGAAGAAAATAAAATGTCTGTTTTAACTGAAGATTTTGTTTGCAAAATGTTCTTTCATGAAAATTCACAAAAAGCAATGAAAAGAGTGTAGAATCCAGACGCCACTTCCAAAGTCTATGGAGAGTCAGATCATTTTCAAAGTATTTCCTAACAAAATTGGAAATGTTTCTCAGTCCCAGATTCATGTCTTTTCATAGTCCGAAAATTTTGGACTCTGAATACTGTGTATGAGAGTCCCAAAACTTAAGATATTGAAAACATGCAAAACAAGAAAATAGACTGGCACCTAATACAACCAGTCCAACACCGCTTCAGTACTGCATCAATCAACCATGCCAAAAGAATTTAAGAAACATGTGGCATGAAGCGGGAACTAGTCTCAATTCACTACACATCTCTCCATAGTCAGCCACCAGACTATTGACACTGAATGAAGAGGTCAGTCTTTTCAAATAGTTGGACCATGGTTGGACATGTACCAGTCTAGTCTTTAGCCCCATTTTGGAATCACTTGACTTCCCTCTCATGTGCAAAATATTGAAGAAAAGTCTCCTTTAATTTAATTAAAAATTGAATTGAGTCTGTTAACTTGGTTGGTGAAATACTGAGGACATTTTCTTTGCCCCAGTGGAATTTTTGGAGAAATTTGCTGGCTAAAGAGTGAGTAAAGTTGGCCTGATTTAGTTTTGCACGTTTCAGAGCACTCCAGAGCCCTGTCTGGTCTTTTCAACATTTTTGCAATGACTGACCTTCATTGAGATAATATCTGATGAAAAAAGTGGCGTCAGGATGCAACATTCTTTCCCAAATGATCCAACATACCTTGGAGATGCACCACTTTATCCAAAGTGCAAACAGCTGAATTTGTGCTGAATTTTTGACTGACTGGTTACCTATCTCACTGACTGACTGTCACTTGTGAATTAGACTGGTTACCTATCTCACTGACTGATTGTCACTTGTGAATTAGACTGGTTACCTACCTCACTGACTGATTGTCACTTGTGAATTAGACTGGTTACCTATCTCACTGACTGATTGTCACTTGTGAATTAGACTGGTTACCTATCTCACTGACTGATTGTCACTTGTGAATTAGACTGGTTACCTATCTCACTGACTGATTGTCACTTGTGAATCAGACTGGTTACCTATCTCACTGACTGATTGTCACTTGTGAATTAGACTGGTTACCTATCTCACTGACTGATTGTCACTTGTGAATTAGACTGGTTACCTATCTCACTGACTGACTGTCACTTGTGAATTAGACTGGTTACCTATCTCACTGACTGACTGTCACTTGTGAATTAGACTGGTTACCTACCTCACTGACTGACTGTCACTTGTGAATTAGACTGGTTACCTACCTCACTGACTGACTGTCACTCGTGAATTAGACTGGTTACCTATCTCACTGACTGACTGTCACTTGTGAATTAGACTGTTCACCTATACTGATATTTTGGGTGACTATTGGGCATAAACAAAAACTAGTTAAAATTGAACCGTCTGGTAAATTATTTTCAGATTTAATAGATGTTTATTGCACAAAATAAGTCACATTCGATTGAAAATACAATTACATTTTGTATCAATAATATTATGAACATAATTTACATTGTGAATCATGTCAACATAATTTATAACATTTTTCCGACATATACAACGTTGTACATATTGTTCATTCGAAGATGAAAATTTGTCCATAATGATGAACTATTAGTGGAAAATTGGAATGTTACAAATGTACATTTCATCACACTTTCATTTTCTGAAGTAAGTTAAACTTCTGCAGATATTCCAGGTGCAGAACTAGAACAAATAGCTTCGCGGTCAAAAGTTAAAAGGGCAACAACTAGAAAGTTGTTCATGTTTTTCTCCATTCTAATATTTCTAATGTTCTTAATGCCAATGCGCTTTACTTTCAGTAAAATTTCTACAACTCTTCCGTTATAAATTGCCTTCCACTTCTATCCATGTGTTGACTCTGTGTCATGCACAATAGAGGGCACTATAGGACCGCTTTTAAAGCCAGAGTCCATCATTTGCAGCTATCCAAAAAGTAACTGGCGTAATTATTGTTGAAAAACATACTCGGTTGAAAGAAAGTAAGGGGACTAAACTCCCTGTGAAATTATTCTTTCTGGCAAGCTTTCATTTTGAAGAAATCAACGAAAGAAGGCCTTGCCAACGGTGCGTCTTAAGAAGCACCGTTGGAAATTTCCGTTAGTAGTTCATTTTTTTATTCGGCGAAGTGCGAGCAAACGTTGACACGAAGCACACGCGTGCGCGGTTGCTATAATTCGTCGGATCGGTAGCTGCAATCGGCTCAGTGAGAACGTGTCTCGGACGCTGAATTGAGGCCCAAAACATGATTCAGCAACTTTTGATTAAAAATTGAGATCCTAGCATGTTGTTTTTCTCGAAATATTCAGCTGAAGCTGAGCTGAAACTTCATCAGGTTAGTTGTTCAGCACTCTTCTTTAGATTTTGAGCACTTTTGTTGTTTCAAACAAACAAAATGCACAAATCACAAATGATGGACTATACCTTTAAAAGCCCCATGAGAGGGACACACCACGTGTGCGTACAGGTTGGCGTGCGTACGGCGTGAAGTACGCACCACTAATTTTATTCTGAGTGTACACAAAGCCATTGCGTCTTCGCGTGAGCGTCAGGCGTTGTCAGCAATGCGTTCAAATGTCTCTACAAGTGGTCTGCCCAACTCTCCCTCTCTTACCGTTGAGGGCGCACTTGTGCACAGAGTTAATAAACCATCACTAACAGGTTTGTAATTCCCATTGGACTGATGAGTTTAGAATTGCTTATCTTATAGAGGGAGAGTTCTCGCGGTCGGTTCAAGGGCCACACTTTGGACACTTGGTCAACCAGAAAAGTTGAATGAAACCTAAAAAGGGCATTCGAAGTGGCCACCAATGAGATATAGACCATAAGGCACATCTTATAGTTAAAAGAAAATCAAATTTGAATTCGACTGTTTTTTAAGGCAGTTTTCTGACCAAATTATTTTGATAATTTTAAGAATTTGTCCAGTTTTCTGACAAGACATGCCAATTGCCAATAAAGTAACGCTTTAATCTTAACGTTACAAGGCACTTCATTAACATTTTTTTCTCTACTTTGAATTTTTTTTTATAGTGCATGACAAAAAAATGTGCTTTCATTTAATATACTAAAAGTGAATGCAGCATTGTTAAAAAAAAGTCAAATTATATCAAAATGTTGATGAAATACGAAATTTTGACACAAAAAATGACATTCAAAGCATTTAACTAGTGTGAATGATCTAAAAAGTAAAAAAGTGTAAGGCGCTAAACTTCACAAAATAAATTAAATATCTGATGGCTCTATGTATGTACACTATACAGTCTATGTTTACTGAAGACGAAAATTAATGGATGAGACGGTTTGAAGCTGAAAATATTTTAACCAAAAAAGAATAGAGGTTTGTACCTCAAATGTTAAACAAGAAAAAAAGTTAGATATTTTTGCATAATTGTTCGTCAAACATGGAACAAAAGAGATATTTTTTTCTGGCTATTCTAAAATTAAGGCAAGTTTGATCATTTACACTGATATAAATGTTTGTATTATTTCCATAATTCTGAAGTTATATTTCAAATGTCGTGCTGGTCCCCGAGAGCCAGCCTAGCTTTCGCACTAACTGACTGACTAACCGACTGTCATGTGGGAAAACCTTTCTAGTATCTAGGTGCAGACTAAGGGCCCGGTCATACTCGGCGCGAACACAAACGCGGGTTTGTGACGTCATCTCAAGATTTCGCTTTAAGTTTTCAAGTCTAGCAAATTTCACAGTGACTATTTCCTGATTTAAAATTGTCTTCGCTTCCAGTCATGTGAAGTACCTATCAGCTTTTAGGGTGCTCATTACCAAGGGGACTGCCCATCAGAAGTATGGGTGTGAGATGGGCGAATGCTGGTGCAAACCTCTGTAACCGCGGTCCATTTCGTCATCGCTCTAAACGGAGACAAAAATGAAAAAAATATATAGATTTTTGTTTTTAAACTGATATTTTCTCCTAGCAATACAAGGGTTGTTCATTTTTGAGCAGACAACTAAAATATGGCCAGGAAAGTAGCAATGGGAAAAAAAAAAAAATCAATTATTCGAGGTGAATCTCGAAAATAGCATGGGGAACGCAGTTCCCCATGAGGAGTTTAAAGGGAAAATACAACATTTGCAAACATCAAAAAATAAAAATACTAAATCATTTTGAAATACCTTGCTGGACTGTTAGTGAATGACAGTGTAAAGCATCCTGTAAAATCATGGCACCTGGTATACTGTCATTTTCAAGAAAAGTGGTATTTTTGTATCAATTTCCAACGCTGGTCAGCCGACCAGCGTTGGAAAAAACTGGCTTTTTTTCAAATACTGGCCCCAATTAACCATTGCACTTGTTTGCAATCGATTACACACCTATGAACGGGTACAAGCCAGCTAGACTGGTTCCCTGACCTTACAATTCCCCAATGTATGTAAACTGCTCTGTTTCTTCTTATATGGAGTCAGGGAACCAGACTACAGGAAAATGATTGTTTTTCTTGGTTTTTATAGCATTTTCGAACCCAAAACCTCAAAAAAGTCAGTGTAATTATATTTGCTATATATTTCCAACCCCCCAATTCCATCCATTTCTGAAAATTACAGCAAAAGCAAATGATGTATATTCCCTTTAATGCTTTTTTAAAGTTTTTTTTTTAAAAATGAGCTAAAGTCACATTTGATTGAAGATGAATGATCACTATGATATTGAGTTGTGAAGACTCACGTAATGGTTGTATCCTCTGTCGCGTAACGGTGGTAGCGCCCTCTGGCTGTAACTTTGATGTTGTTCGCCCATGCGTAAGCGTAGCGATTCCTTCTGCTTGCCCCACTCGCGCGCTTTCTCCATAAGCTGCCAAAATAAAATTGAAATTAAGATATTAAGATGAAGTCAATGTAATTACTAATATTCTTGACCGAGCTTTTAAAGGGCTCAGTGAATAAACCTGAAAATGTAATTTTCAAATCTTACACATCCATCATCTAGTAATGGTCAAGGAGATTACAGACTAGGAGTTTTGGATCATTTCTCTGAATCATTAACTAGATATCATGGTTAATTGGTTCTGTCACAGACATTACACTTTCTTTCCTAACGCTGGAATTACCCACAACCACATCTAACAACATTGCCAAACTTAAGTGTTTCATATCGTTTACTTGCCATATTCTAGGTTCTAGGTAAAAGAAAATCCACATAATGTCTTACATAACAGAGACAATTTTGGAGAACCTGTTTTTTGTGTGCATCTGATGCTAGACTTATTTCCAGCAGTAAAACTTTCAAATATTTGAGCCAACTGTCAACATAAGACTGGTGCCGCATAAAATGCATATCAAGTATTAAAAACCCACTGTGTGACATCAGGTACCACGCTGGTTTCAAACTTACACACACGGCGATCCTACACTCGCCTTTGAGGCAACTTCTGGAATGAAGACTAGCATCCAACGGCTCAATTTTTAGAACCAAAATTTTGTACCCCGCAATTCCTTTGCGTGACAATTACACGAAAACAGCGCATTTCCAAGGTACAGTTGTGTGAACGTTCCTGTTCTACTTTTTAATGATCTTCCGAACTATTATCATTACGTGGTGAATGCATTTTTGAGCCCAAAAGGTTGCAATCTCTCGAAAGTGCACCTTTAATCATACCTCTCTCTCCAGTGACTGTACTCTGCTTTTGGCTTTCTCCAGCTGAAGTTGCATCATCATTTTCTCTGCGTCGTTGTTCCTGGATGTCTGTAAAAAAAATCCAATTTAACGTTTAAAGGCACGTAGGGACATTTGTAACGACCCGATAACGCATCGACCAATTTAACAAGAAATTCCTTCCTCAAATTGAAGATAGGACTGGTACCAAATACCCTGTGAAATTATTCCGCCTGAAATGGTGTCATCGGAAGAAAACAATCATTGAAGGTAGTTAAAGAAAATGTGCCAGCGGGCATACTTTTTTACATGCGTTAGCAATGGAATCCAGTTACGAGACCCAAAAATTGTGCATACATTTCTCTGTAAAACGTATCTCATAGTATCCACTGAGCTGAAACTTGGTGTGGGGGTGGGGCCGGGGGGGGGGGGGGGGATCTGCTGGTACCTACATACCTTATTGGCAGAATCCACTCGGATTTGTTCTATTTGCGCCTTCAGTCTGGCGTTTTCGGCTGCGATGAGATCAACCTCGTTTCTCCTGGCGTCTACAATTCACAAAACAAAACGGACGACGTGTATGGTAACATCCTAATTAGGACACATTCACAAAAGTTGCACGGTGCGCTAGTCCGCCATTTTCACAACAACTTATGGCATAACTTGGTGCCTTGTTTCTTTCCATGTCTGCCACGACAACGGCCCGGGTTCGATTCCTGTCCTGGTCCACATGTGGATTGGGTTTTCAGTCCCTACCTGATTCCGTGGGTTTTCCCCCAGAATATTCTTCTGGCGTTTTCCTCCCGCCTCTAAAACTGTACTTTCTTCTCACTGTCTTCTCTCTACAGGTTTCTTCGGGCTTGTGAGCTACAGTGCTGAGGGTGCTTTTGAGGAATCCTTGGTTTCATTACCAGAAATAAATAAATAATAATACCCTTTCTTAGAGTTTAGGCACTCTCCTGAAGACGGTCAGAGCATACTGACTGGTACTTCGAGTTTATACCTCTGGTTCTTTTCAGAACCATTCTCTTAGTTGAGAAATTATTCGCACATGGTGTTTCCGCAAACCTTTCATTATTTAGTATCTCCACCATGCAAAGCCTCAAATCTTACTTACTAATCATAATCATAATCTGGCTCTCGATATGATTTTTTGCCTACCTTCTTGTTTGGCATTCATGGGTCGTTTACTCATGAGAAGCTTCTCCATCTTCTCCAGGGCTTTCTCCTGTTCGCGACACGTTCTCTCCAGTTTCTTGATCTTAGTCTGTTTGTCCTGTAAGGCGTTTGAATGCGCTGCTTGCGCATCTTTCTGACTGAGATACAGCTGCTCACGGTCGTTTTGCTGTCATTAAAAATAAGAAGCTAGCGTTGTTACGTTGGACGTGATCCCTGGCTACATGGCGTGGGTTTACGGCTCTTGACTAGCGCCCTTGAACGAAGACACTGACAAACTTGGGAACCGCCAACATAGGGCTGGATAGCTCAGTTGGTAGAGCACTGGAACGGCAATCCGGAGGTCGCAGGTTCAAACCCCGCTCAAGTCAATTTTCTTTGTTCAACTTTAACATTATTAAATAATGCACCTAGTTAGTTTCCCTTTGCGGTTGATTAAAAAACTTGTGATAAAATGTTGCATGAGTTTGAACCCTGCCAGGAACATGGTGTTTGTGCCCTTGGGCAAGACACAGTAAGAGCAGCTCAAACAGAGACTAGATGGCACCTACACTCGCCTCCTCATGAGAGCGCAAATATTTCCCCTAAGGAACATAAGACAAAGACGGAAATACACGGCAGCATCCCACCTATCTCAACTACAGTGGCACAACGCCGAGCCCGCTTTGCCGGCCACTGCTACAGAGCCAAAGAGCAAGTTGTCTCCGACCTCATCTGCTGGAGATTGCCTTGCCCCAACAGAGGGAGGAGACCCCTCAACTACGTCGACACTGCATGCAATAATGTTAGCCAGCACGTCGATGACATCACTACGGCCATGGCGGACAAGAGAGTCTGGAAGAGTTTGGTTGCCCTAACTACAATGGCCTCTCTCCAGTCTCCACCCAGGAGTATAAATGGGTACCTGTGAGGGTAGAGGACCGAATGTGCGCTGATATCGGCTGCCGCTGCGCTGATATCGGCTGCCGCTGCGCTGATATCGGGGAATGATTGTAATGTGCTTTGAGATTGTTGATATGATGGAAATCGCTTACCTTAATCATATCATTTTGCAGTTTCAGGACCTGGTCTCGGTAGTTGGTGGTCTCGGCCACTTGCCTCGCCAACTTCTGCCGTACGACCACTGTGAAACAAAGACAAAATGATAACTTTCCCCTTGCAAAGAAGATCCAGAGACTCGTATACAAACAATGAATGTTTGTGAGTGCAACGGTAAGAATAGTTTCATTCGGTGACGGATGGAATGTTCCATTCCACAAGGCAAAGTCGAGTCAAGGCAAAAACTGCCCCTCGAAAGCACAATTAGAAAAACCCCGTTTGCAACATTAAAATGCCCCCTCTCAAGTGGAAAACTGGCACCTAAACAGTAATAGTGCTCTTCACGCAAATGAAATGGTTACTGAACTGGCCATTAAAAGCAACAGTGCCCCTCTCACGATAACAAAAAATGGTCTCTACATAATTAGGTAAAAGAAACACAAAGAGCAAGATGGACAACATATTCATAATTTGTTCCTTGTCATATAGGTTTATAGCAAAATGAACGCGACCATATTCTTTTCCTCCACTTTCACACCGACGGAAGTTGCCCCTTTTTCTGAGCAAGTGCCCCTTTTTGGTGTTGCCCCCCAGTTTGAAAAGCATTCCGCGGCCCCTGAGTGAATTTGGACACGACATTCCTGACTCATGACTCGGACCTAATCCAAACGACTCAAAATCTCAAGGTTTTCAAGACTTAAATACCAGTCCGACACTCACCATACTTCTCCAGAAGTTCTGCTTTGGTAACGTCATCCAGGTCATCGTTCGTCACCATTGCCCTTGAAGCATCTTCGTGCATGTTGATGCGCTGACGTAGCTTGCTATTGTCCCCTTCCAACCGGCCAATCTAAACACAAAACATTTTTAAAATTGAATCAATACTACATAATTTCAGGAGCATCGCTACACCACATTAAATTTGGAGGGGGGGGGGACTGGAGGGGCTGGACACCATCTTACGATAGGGGGCGCTATTCAAAGTGGACGATCAAGGACACTACCGATCAATAGGTTGCGTTCTTCATCTCGGCACATTTGGAGGGGGGGGGGGGGGGAGGTGGGAAATGTATTTCTCTCTTCCAAACCACCCCTGCAAGAAATGTTGAACCCAACTCTGTAGCGCTGGCTCTTGGGAACAATATGTGCTACGCGCTCTCTCAACGCGCAAACCAGCATGCATTTGCACACAAATACCGCCCCATGGAAAAAGGATGATCCTAACTGTTGAATAGTAAATCCCATTGACCATGGGCAAATGGGACTTTTAGAACGCCGGTGTAAATGGGAGCAATAATGAATATCACGTGATATGAGTTCCACCAATCAAACGACAAGGATCTGTATGACGGTTTTATAATATTCCCCATTTTTAATAAACAGCTATGATTAGTTTCTAAGATTCTTCCTCTGCAGCAAACGTTTCTTAATTAGCGAATCTTTTGTGTGTCCATTACGGTTACCGTGGCAACAGCTGCTGCGTCTCAAATTGCCTGTTGTCGTAGCAACAAGCGACCTTGATACCTCTGTCTACACAAAGGCGGTAAATAATGAAGCGTTCGCCTTGGCGGCTGCGAACAATTAAACTCAAGTTCGATAATATTGGATTTCTAAAACACTTCATAAGCTAACAATTTTTGTTATGTTGCAAAGCTATGAGGACAACTGGGCCAAATTTCATGGTTCTGCTAACAGCAGAAACATGCTGTGCTAACCCTGTAAGCACGGAATCTTTAGTTACTGGATGTACGCATGCGCACAGAAGTAAAAATTCCTTGCTGACCCGTGAAATACGCTTACCATAAGCACGGAAATTTCTGCTACTGCAGGGATTTTTGCTATTATCAGCAGAGCCATTAAATTGGCCCCTGATGAGTAGAGTACATTTCAATCGCCATTACCCCCTTTTTTTAGAAACGGAAACCAGAAATATATAGTGACAAAAATGATGCACAAACTAAGAGGCAATATTGTAAGACAACAGCCATAATTCTCTAGATAATTAACAACGCAAGTTGAGTCTACGAAACACAAAAAGTTCTACATTTTGACAAAACTTGCTATCCACTTGTGTACATCTTTCAAAGCATGTTGGAACACTGGGAATTACCCGGGAACGAACCTACCGATTTTAATGACAGAAACCTTGCTAAAAGTGAAGATAGGACTGGTATCAAAAACCCTGTGAAATTAATCTGTCCAAAATGCTATTGTTTGGAAGAAAACAACCATTGAAGGTGGTTTCAAAATAGTGTGTCCGCTGGCACACTTTTTTGGGCTTTAGCATTGAGCTCAGTTTGTGAGACTTGAACAATTGTGAATAAGTATCCTATGTCTTCTCAAAAATGTACATCCACTGAGCTGTAAACATTTGATTGCAGTTTAAGTAACGCTACCTCAATAGTCTCACATACACATGTGTTTATACTTCCCAAAAGCACGTTGTGACTGCGCCCTCGTTGGTTAATGAAAACGTATTTGATTGAATTGCTTACATGTTCCTGCAATCGCACAATCTCTTCTCCCATCCTGTTCAGAGCCTCGCGGTAACTCGAAATCTCCTTCTGCTGGGCGTCCATCAGACTCAGTGAATACTTGTCATTCTCTGTCGGTGCTGAACTGTTGGTACAAGAAAGACAAAAAAACAATCATCAAAAAATATTAATAATACAGATTAAAAGACAAACCGGTTAAGTTGAACATGTGCCATCTGCCCTCACAGGTACCCATTTACTCCTGGGTGGGGAGAAGCAATGAGTGACAAAGTGCCTTGCTCAAGGGCACACGCACCGCAACCCCAGGCTGGACTTGAATGCAATTTTTTCCCACGACATATCAGGCACGCCCTGTGACCCATGTATGCATGACAGATTCAGTGAGCTGCACTCTGACGTTTAAATGAACAACGTTTTTTGGGTGTTTTTCCAGCATTAATGGACCCAGAACATTGAACAGCTCAGTGGAACGATGTCTGCTATAAACTACTGACCCTTAAATCAGTCCATTTCACGAAATTATGACAAATATGCAAATGATATTTAAAGGCACACGGGATTATTTGTATTTATCCCAAAAGTAATCTACCAAATTATTATCAAAAAGCTTACTTGGCTTAAAGATCGTACTGGTACTAAACACCAGGTGAAATTACTCCATCTGGCTTGCTGTCATTTACAAGAAATCAAGACATGTAGGTGATTTCCATCGATCAGTCAACTGACAGATTTTTTTGGAAATAAAGAGTGCTATAGACGAAATCGTGTTTCGTGATCAGAAAGTTAAGTGCATGGTTTTTCAGTGTTTTCTTGAAAACTGTAATATCCGCCTAGCTGAGAATTCAACAGGTATGAAAGTTTTTGAACATTCTTCTTTGGATTTCGAGTGGTGTTATTATCGGAAACGAACAAAATGCATGAAAAGCAAATGATCCTATATGCATTAAGCATGAAACAAAAAATCGTTAACTGAGACTTACTTGGGTTTTGGTTTTCGGTCTTTGTATCGGTACGGATCCGGACTGGGCGGGAGACGCGTCGGGATCAGGCCGTTATCAGAATGCCTCGTGGGCGGGTTGCGGTGTCTGGACGATGGCAGCAGGTCCCGCATTGCATTGTGGGTAGGGAGGTCGTCATCATCCATAGTCTGTTCATTCAAACGAGAATTTAATGTTTATTAAAACCCTCCCTCTCTGGCTGTCACTTGCAACAAGGCCAGCCCAGCAGTCAAAAATAAATCAAGTGACTGTTTTTTTAACAGTTGAGTGCTCCCTGACTTCATAAAGCAGGATTGACTGGCTGTGATTGTTACGAAACTTGATACAGCTATGCTTTTGACTGTAGGAGATTGATAAGCCAGCTCTGTAACTTGAAAAGGACATGAGTGATTTGAATGATTCTTGTACTAAAAGAAAGCTTATGAATTGGGCTTTCATATCCTAGATTTTGCAAGTACTACATGCAGAACTTCACTAAAACAATTGTCCCGACATTTGGGTTTCGTTTTTCTTTACTCACCCTCTACATCCAAAACATCATTCAGGGGTTATTTCAGAGCTACGTAATGTCCATGACAGAGCTTTTAAGAGCTCAGTGAATAAACCTGAAAAAATATTTGTTGCATACTGTACATCCATCATTCATCTAGCAAAGGCCAAGAAGATTACAGACTAGGAGTTTTGGATCATTTCTCTGAATCATTAATTAGATATCATGGTTAATTGGCTCTGTCACGGACAGTACGCTTCCGGGAATTGCCCACACATAATTTTAACCCATCAATGCCCGTCGTGCATTGTATTACATTGTGTTTATTCGCTGAAGCATCCATAAAACTATACAACGCCAGGCGGTTCTGGCCGCAAGTAATAGGCAGGGCAACTTCTGGTGTTACAGTGTTAAAGGATGAACATTAAAAAAAAAACTAAACACACAGAAAAATGCTGTCCAGAAATTTTTCGAAGCCTGAATGAAAAGGTACATGTATTATATAACTGACATAGGCCTACAGATCCTTGTCATTTGATTGGTGGAACTCACATCCCATCACGTTCATTATCGCTCCCATTCACGCCGGGGCTCAAAAAGTCCCATTCGCCCGTGGTGAATGGGATTTACTACTCAACAGTTAGGATTGTTCTTGTTCCATGGCGCGGTATTTGTGAGCAAATGCATGCCAGTGTGTGCGTTGAGTGTTGAGAAAAGCGCGTATTGTTCCCAAGAGCCAGTAGCTACAGAGTTGGGTTCAAACATTTCGTGAAGGGGTGGTTTGGAAGGGAGAAATACATTTCCCACCAATTTTGTATTGAAATAGAAGTTCATTTTAACTGTAAATCGAAGTGACAAGGATCTTAATGTCAGTTATATAAACAAATCTCGAGTGGCTTCACAATGTGAAATTGGAGGAATATTATCGCTCGGTAAAATGTGGACTTTAAAAAGTCCAGATTTTACTTTGCGATAATATTCCTCCCATTCCACTCTGAGCCACTCAACATTTGTATAATGGGCACCATTTGCAAACAATAAAAAATGAAACTGCCAAAATATCATGAAATATCCTACTTGATTGTAAATAAATAATAGGATCAAGCATCCTGCAAAAACACTGCTCCTCAAGATGGTTAGGACCAAACATTCGCGAGAAACAAAAGAAGTTTTTTTCCCCCAAAATAGTGCCCATAATTGACTGAATTTAGTTTAGTTTGCAATCGCAAATGATAGCAAATGATTGTCACACTGACTTGTTTGAAGTTTTGTGTGCTGTAATTTGGGGGCATTATTTTTTTTTAAAAACTCAATTTTTTTTCCAATGACGGTCGGCCGACCATCGTTGGAAATTGATACAAAAATTCCGCTCTTCTTGAAAATGACAGCACACCAGGTGCCGTGATTTCACAGGATGCTTGAGACTATTATTCACTTACAGTCAAGAAAGGTGTTTCATAATAATTTGGTCGCTCTGTTTTTTTTATTTTTGCAAATGTTGCCTTGAAGATAGTGCATAGTGGGTGTTTACCAATGCAAGACACTGTACCTACACTAACACTGCGGTATAGAGCCATCCATTCATACAACACTAACAGATCAATACAGCACACAATAATGGAGGAACGGACTTTGTTCGCTAATCTTTCTCGGTTAGTTCCCCATTCATTGCACACCGGAACTTGATTTGTGCTGCATCAATTATGCATCAGACATTGAGGACAGAACGTGGCTATGCCGAGATTTTCCGTCAAACTTTAAGAACTTGATTTTTTTAAATTGCTGTTCCCCATTTTATCTGTGTTGTTTTACAGAAATGTTCAATTTTACTGTCTCAGCAATATTTCAGCCTTACGCTACGTAAAACAGATTTGATGGTGTACATATATATCTGTTTCTTCATCAATTTATCAGAACAAATCTTCACACAATCAGTGGTTTGCACAAAAAGTTGAAACACTGAATACAGCTTGTAAAAAAACGACAAGATGAGATTCGATATGGCATGAATGTTAAAATACAAACGAAAAGCATAAGTATTTGTTTCTTCCAATTCTGTGGGTTATTTCGCAAGTTCTAAATTAGACATAAAATACATGTGCTGTCTTGATGGTTTTTGTTTTGTTCGCCGATGCTTCAGATGTGTGGGGGTTGCTGAGAAGCCACTTATATAGTGCTTGCATTTTTCCCACGGCTAACTGATTCGTTTTGTTTAATAATAATAATAAAAAGGTGCCAATGCGTTAGACGAACAAGTTAATATAATGAACTTGTTTTGAAGTGAAACTCTAAAGTACATGTATTTGTACCTATAACATAATTCTTTGAAACTGTATGCATATTAGGAAAGATTTCCATATACCATGGAGCTGTGTTTTATAGCTCCATGCATATATACAAAGTTCACTAATTTTCCTCTGTATTGACTAACAAGCCCCCAGATAGCAATTTCATGTCATCAAAGTCAATTTGAGCAGTGAGAAAATACAAGCATTTTCTTAGAAAACACTTAGAATTTTTCAGTCCAATCTCATAGGGTGTGTACCAGGGTGTTGAGTGAACTTCGTATATGGAAATCTTTCCGAGAAGCCACTTATGTAGTGCTTGCATTTTTCCCATGGCTAACTGATTCTTTTTGTTTAATAATAATAACAAAAAGGTGCCAATGCGTTAGACGAACAAGTTAATATAATGAACTTGTTTTGAAGTGAAACTCTAAGTCTAAAGTACATGTATTTGTACCCATATCAAAATTCTTTGTAAATGTATGCATTTTAACTTACATCTGACGTAAACGGTCTGTAGTACGCAACGGCCATATTTCACTTTGGACAAAATATATTCCTTTTACAACGCAGCAAAGTCGGAAAAACACAACCAGTATCGTGCAAGATCCGTTTGGTTGCACATAATCACAATCCACAACAATCATCCAAGTTTCTTACGAGACGAGCAGAAAAAAACCCAAAACAGGAGCGTTTGTTCAGTTGGTTCAAGTCAGAACGTCGGCCGGAAATTAATTATCCAGATGAGAATGGTGGAGCTCACAGAGAAAATTTGCAAATGCAGTCTGTGTTCCCATTTCTGAGCCGCTTATTTTCCAGAGTTGGTGGTGCGCTTTGCAGTTTTTTAAACTCTTGATGTCAATTTTGTTTGTAGGAATTAACCACATACACGGTGACGCCAACTACATGTATTTGTCAAATTATGACGTACTGTTCACCAAACACAATTCATCAAGTTCTAGACATCGACATGAACAAGAAATAACTCCGATCCATCAGGTTGACAAAACTAACAGATGAAATCAGTCACTGTCGACAGTGATGTCCTTTTGATGGTAATGTGAAATAAATTCCGTTCGTGGTATAAACGCTCAACTATTCTATGACATGTCCTAACGTACAGCCATCGGAAACAATTAACTCGATGTATTCACTGAACGACGGAACTGTTGAATGGCCAAAACCATAGAGTGCCAAATTAACTGCAGCCAATTTTGGGCCATGGGTTCAGTGTGGAATGTTGTCAACTGCTATTCCATGTCTGGAATACAATAAGCAGTAAACAGTCGTCTGGGTAGGCCAGGGTCAGGTCCAGTCAACCAGAACAGCTTGAACGTTGCTAGGCAACGCCACAGTGGCATGGAAGCTACAGCACGTATGCAATTACATATATGTATACATATATACAAAGGTCCGTTCTTTTCAGTTTCACATATGGTATAGCACTACTGCGGTCATTTTGTAAATTGCATTTCTCACAAATCAATTTTGGCAGGGTTATTGTTTAATAAATGTGACTCTCACATATTTTCTAATTTTCTGCTAAAACAATTTGTTGGTGTTTGATTTGTATCAGTGACGATACATGATTTTATTCTGTTTCAACAAATTTTAAACAGCTTTTATATATATTTTTTTCAACTCATAATTGTACTTAAAATTTTGTCAATTTATAAAGTGATTTTTGAGTGTTTTCCCCATGCTAATTATATTTTCTTAATGTCTTTAATTCTTGTATATCCCATTTTTATTAATGATAGCCCATTGAAAATCAGGCTTGAGGTGATATGGCTACCATCAATAAATAAAAGTTATTATTATTTAAAAAGGTTTTTCTGAAGATTGAATGAAATTGCTGACAATGTTGTTTTTAACATAAAACATTAAAAAGTAAAACGTAAATTCAATTAGTGCTGGTCCCAGAGAGCCAGCCTGTAGTCCTCTATGCACCCGGCTGACCGACCGAATTTGCAGCATGAAGCTGTATACTCCCCAGGGAGCTGATATTGTCTTTGGAATGTTGCACTGGCCCAATGATCAGGGGTAATAATTATGTTAAGCGCTTTGATCTTACAAACAGTGAAATCTTGATCAGTCAAACCTCAAGGGAACAGGTTCAAAGTTTGACTTAAGTCGAGTTTTGAGTTAAGCAGGGTTGTAAATCTTTGAAGGCCATGGTTCTTTGTTTGACTTAACAGTTGTTCTGAGTTTTCAGAGTTTGACTTATCAAGATTTCACTGCATTTAAAAGTTTTATATAAATATCAATTATGATTATTAAGAAAAGAATTCTTAAGGGAAATTACAGGGTGTCTTAACAAAATGTAGCAGTCTAACAAAAAAAAATTTGAGGAAACTAAAAAAAAAGAATTTGAACAAAAAATTACCATGAGATGATAGAGTGTTTCTTTACCCTTGACAGGTGTTTTGTTCTGTGTGATTTGGACCTTTTGTTTAAAAGTTACGGCAAAGCTTGTAAAGACTGTCCAAATCTGTTTGAGCCACTTTCTTCACCTTCTTGGTATGAGAATGCCTTTTGTTAGATACCAAGTGGCCTGACTTGGAATTCAAGTCCTTTCATTTAATTAGCTGAATCTCTGGACTGGGGTGTCCAAATGAGATGGGACGAAGACCATTGTGTAAAGTATTTACTACACCCTTCAGATTCTATAGATAAGTTTTGCAAAAAGAGGGTGCTAGTATTGTCAATATTGATCGATTGACTGCTACATTTTTTTAGACATATTGTAGTAACCACAAATTATAGAATTCATTTGTAACTGTAACAATTTATCAATTAACTACTGCGATTGGCTGTTATTTTTTGCGCCAACTGCACATGCTGTGGTGGATATGTAGATATGTGTTTTCATACACACACACATACAAACATAAAATACAATAAAATAAAAAAATTACAAAAAAAATACCAAACAGTTTTAAAGGGATATATGATCATTTGCTTTTCATGCATTTTGTTCGTTTCCAATAATAACACCACTCAAAATCCAAAGAAGAATGTTCAAAACCGAACCTGTTGAAGTTTCAGCTCAGTGGATATAACACTTTCTAAGAAAAACAGTGAAAATCATGCTCAACCTTTTGATCAAGAAACATGATTTTGTCAATTTAACTTGATTTCCAACGATCAGTCAACTGACTGATCGTTGGAAATCATCAATATTTCTTGATTTTCTTCTAAATGACAGCAAGCCAGATGGAATAATTTCACAGACTGTTTAGTACCAGTACGATCTGTAATCCAAAGAAGCATTTTGATAATAATTCGCCAGGTTACTTTTCGGATAAATCAAATGATCCAATATGCCTTTATTTTCTTTTATTATATATTCCTTTGACAGGGAACGTGATCAACCAATCACTGTCAAGGGCACAATACCCGTCATTAATGGACTTTACATCATAATGATATTTGCCTAATTGCTCTGTTCAAAAGTCCAATCAATATTAATGGGCATTAAATCATCGGTCGTCTGTCCAGCCATGCATGTCCAATAGCCTAATGAAAAATACAGGCTTGCGGTTAACGAGCTGTGGTGCTCAAGGTGCTACATCATTATTACCCTGCTCAATGGGCCAATAAAACAGTCCAACGACCATTTCAGCTCCCTGGGGAGTACACAGCTCCATGCTGCCGTTTTGGTGCAAAGTAGCTAAAATCAACCTCAATAACCATCTCTGCCCCTCACGGGTACCCCTTTACTCCTGGGTGGGGAGAAGCAATGAGTGACAAAGTGCCTTGCCCAAAGACACATATGCACCAGGCTGGACTCGAGCCCACAACCTGCAGAATTATCCACAGATCGTGAGCTGAGTAAAGCTGGTTCAAGAGTGCAAAATTCTATTCAATTGATCTAGAATGGCCAAAAGGTCATAGAATAAGCTGCAGTGGTAACGTGACGGCAATTAAAAATCCTGTTTTGCCATTTGCATGGAGACTTGACTTGTTGCCTACACATGTATTATGAAAGTAAATAAAACAAGCAGCGCCAGACTAATTAGCACTGCAAGTCAGTCAGTGAGATAGGTAACCAGTCTAATTTACAAGTGACAGTCAAGTCAGTGAGGTAGGAAACCAGTCTAATTCACAAGTGACAGTCAGTCAGTGAGATAGGTAACCAGTCTAATTCAAAAGTGACAGTCGGTCAGTGAGATAGGTAACCAGTCTAATTCACAAGTGACAGTCAGTCAGTGAGATAGGTAACCAGTCTAATTCAAAAGTGACAGTCGGTCAGTGAGATAGGTAACCAGTCTAATTCACAAGTGACGGTCAGTCAGTGAGATAGGTAACCAGTCTAATTCACAAGTGACAATCAGTCAGTGACAGGTAACCAGTCTAATTCACAAGTGACAATCAGTCAGTGACAGGTAACCAGTCTAATTCACAAGTCTTATAGGACTTTTAAGGTCAAAGTGCAAACTTACCACAAATCTTCTTGCATTTTGCCTGGGTGGGTACAGAGGCACCGGGAGTGGGGTGTGTGCTACCATTGGTAGGGGGTCCGGCTGGGGGTCTGGCTGGGGGTCTGGCTGGGGTGTTGGAGTTGGCGACGGAACCACTGACGAAGGCTGAAACGACGGTTCGGGAGTCTTCAGCTCGTGCTCGTAGAATGTTGGCAAGCTTGGCAGAATGTCGAGATCACTGGACGTCGCCAAGGAGTCTGGTTTCTGTTGGTCAAGTTCAGTGTTATCCATTGTTAACCCGGCTGGTGCGCTGACTATAACTTAACATTGCACTTGAGATTCAAGTGTAAGAGGAAATTCGAGCATACAATCGAAACACTTCTTGTTAAATTCGCCTTAAAAAACTTCCGGTAAAAAAAAATCACCGCCAAAGTCAACTTCCCTCAAAGTGAACAACAGGAGTTGACTCCGCACACAAACAGTTGATGTTTCATAACAACTTGGCATAGTTCCACTTGAAGAGAAACACCCCTTGCGCGTACTGGTTCATTCGTTTTTGGCGCGAGGTACGCACGACTAATTTTGTTCTGAGTGCGCACAAATCTGCGGTTTCTTCACGTGAGCGTCAGGCGTTGTCGGCAATGCGTTCAAGTGTCCATCCCAGTTGTCTCCCCCAACTCTCCTGGGAAAGACTTGTTCATCGCTGCGGAAAAGACTTGTTCATCGCTTCAAGATCGTCAATTGTTGATTTCGCTGAACGATGCACCGATTGGTTGAGTTCGATATTGATTTTTTTTTTGTTACTGCCGCAACAAGTTGATCGTGCCAGATCACACATTCACACACTGAGGAGTTTTCGTGAAACTCTACAAATTCACAATTTTTTAAAACTGACTAGTATCGTCCAAATATCGTTCAGTATATTGTGTTGTTGCGAGTCCGCGAAGCCAAATGCGACGTACAAATGATACACGCCTGGTAAAAACACAAACGCTTTGAAAAGAAAATACTACCCAAGATCAATAATGACTGATGACTTGTGCCTGGGCGGCTGCAAATAAGTCGAGGACGTTTTTGTGAAACTTCGTCGAAATTGAAGCAATTCAACCAAGTGTGACAAATTGCGCTATTTTCTTATTGGAAACGGGTGGCGAAATATTGACTTTCTCGTTATGACTGAGACAGACTCGGCTGTTGGCCAAGTCACATAAAGGGAGAAACGATGCTCATTATGCAGTGTGGAAAAAAAGGATTTTTTTCATATTTTGATCTTACTGCTAAGAGCATATTGTTGAAATATGCCCGAAATAAAATATTTCACTCGATTTATTTTATTTCGACAACTTAGCGTTTAAAGTTTACTGACAGAAGTATGGTACTGTATTGCACACACATTTGTGAATTGTTTTGACACGAAATTATAAAATTAAAGATGTACTTTCTGCCCTTTTTTTTTTAAAGTTTCTTCCGGAAAATTAGATTTTCCATTTCACTTGCTTTTCTTTCTAGCGATACAAAAGTTATTCGCTTTTAAATGAGACATCAAATAGACACAAATTGCTCAACGTTTATTTATTGAATAATTACTAAAGTTTAATTCGTATCCGGACAATATTTCAGTTCTTGCAGGGTAGACTGGTCCCCTCCCCCATCAGGATGAATATCTTTGGGTTGGGAACCAGTCTTATTGCAGGGGGAATTTGTTTATGTGCAAAAGCAAACCAAATAAAAGCTTTTATTTTTTCAGAGATGCAGATTCCTAAAACATAAAAAAAAATGAAAAAGATTTTTTTTTTTTAAATTGAAACACTCCAAGGTCAAAATTAATTACAAGAAAAAAAAATCAAACTTGTTGAAGACAACGGATGGTATAGATTTCTTTCAGTAGAACTAAATCATTATTTAAAGGGAATATACAACATTTGCAAACATCAAAAAACAAAACTACCAAACTTTTAGGAAATACCTTACTGGACTGTTAGTGAATGACAGTCTATTTAATCCTGTAAAATCATGGCACCTAGTGTGCTGTCATTTTCAAGAAAAGTGGTATTTTTGTATCAGTTTCCAATGCTGGTCGGCCGACTAGCGTTGGAAAAAAAAACTGGCTTTTTTGAAATACTGCTCCCAATTTGTCATATCACTTGCACACCTATGGACGGGTACAAGCCAGCTAGACTGGTTCCCCGACCCTAATTCCCTAAGGTCTATAAACTGCTCCGTTTCATATTAAGTGGGGTCAGGGAACCAGACTACAGGAACATGATAGTTTTTCTTGGTTTTTCACATGTACGAACACAAAACTTCAAGCAAGTAGTGTAACAATATTTGCTTTAAAATGCTAACCTTCCAAATCCATCCATTTCTGAAAATTACAGCAAAAGCAAATGAAGTATATTCCCTTTAATAAAGATTCATACTTCATGTCGTTCATGAATGATTAATGAATACAACCTTGACAGGACACACCAGCAACACATAACCGATAGTGTTACATTTATCGGTTTAATCTATGATAACTGGTTGCCTAGTAACCCCTTAGTAACAGAATCTCATGATACTGTTTACGACTGTAACTTGGCAACAAGTTATATCAGATGTTCCGTAGTATCTTGGGGAGAAAGGTTACATGTTTCTTATTTTCGTTTGAGGAAAATATTGACAAACTTTGAATTCGCCTAGATACAGATGTTTCTTATCTGTCGAACTGATGTTTCTCCTGTAACTATCTTAGTGATGAAGCGAAACATTTAGGTCAGTTTCACGCTCAAAATATATATGTTGATAGATTATCGGTTGAAAAAATTCCACAGCACACAATTCGGGCGATTCACAATGCAGTGCGCCACCAAGAGTTTGCCATGGAGAGTTAATTTTTCAAGTTTACAGTCGACAAAACATGGCCCATTTGAACGAGTGTTAGTAGACAACTTGAGCTAATTTGTTGTAGATTGGGGCATAGCGTTCTGCCGCCTTACAAAAAAAATCCATATTGATAAAAAGAAAAGAAAAGGGCAAACATAATATTGGAATCATACTTTTACAAACTTTCTGGCCAGAAAAACTAACAATTTCAAATGTCCACCATCTCCCACAATGCACTGGGAAAAATTAACTCTCCGTTCTGTGGCAAACTCTTGATGGCGCACTGTATTGTGAATCGCCCGAATTTAATTGTAAATTATTATTATTTTTTTAAAATTAAAACCCGCCCTCTCTGGCTGGTAAAACCAGCTACTCCATCGCAGCAGTCAAAATCAATCAAGTGACTGTTTTTAACAGTTGATAATGCCCTTGTTAATCTGATATAGGCACGCTTTGACTGGAGGTGATTGATATGCCAGCTGTACCGACCAGTCACCTCTTTTATCTGTTGATGGAATTTGACTAGTCACAGTGTTTACACGAATGTTATCGGACTGGGTTTTTAAAAAAAATAATGGTCTGTATACTTATGCATGGCAGGGGAAGTGGAAGACATTTTTGACTGTCTGTGACTGATCAAACAAAAGGAGGGATTTATTAAAAGAAAAACAAACACAAAACTGGCGTGTGTTTGTTTATTAGGGAAATGCACCTTTAAAGGGAATGTACAACATTTGCTTTTGCTGCAATTTTCAGAAATAAAAGGATTTGGAGGATTAGTATGTTATAGCAAATATTGTTAAACTGACTTGTTTCACGTTTTGGGCTTGTAGATGCTGGAAAAACATAGAAAACCAATCATGGTCTTGTAGTCTGGCTCCCTGACCCCACTTAAGATGAAACAGAGCAATTTGTAGACTTTGGGGAATTGTAAGGTCAAAGAATCAGTCTAGCAGGCTTGTACCCCTTCACAGGTGTGTAATCAATTGCAAAGAAAATGCGGAATAGCTAAATATGAAAAACTAGGAGCAGTTTTTGAAAAAAGCCAGTTTTTTCCAACGCTGGTCGGCCGACCAGCGTTGGAAAAATACAGTCTTTTTGAAAATGTCAGCACATCAGGAGCCACTATTTTACAGGATGCTTTAGACTGTCATTCCCTAACACTTCAGTAAGGTATTTCGTGATAATTTGATCACTTCGTTTTTTGATGTTTGCCAATGTTGTATCTTCCCTTTAAAGTGAGAATGTTATTATTTACATTTTCAACTTACCGTGGAAGCGATGAGTCGTAGTATTACTGATACGTGTGGCGTCTTGTTTTCTCTTGTTTTCAAATCGCTACCCTGATTTGTTAATGATCAAGAAAAGTTTTTGCGTCACGGAGATGTAAATTCAATATTGGGTTTTCCCTAGCTTTAAGCTACGATCAGTTATATTGCTTTTGCTGCAAAACAAGGCACCATGCCGGTTATTTTAATTGAAACAAGATACTTATTGGGGGACCAAAACATGCATGACTTCTGCAAAAATAACCTTTTCTTCATAAAAAAAACCACAAGTTAACAACAACACAGAGGGCAAAAAAGTCAATTTAGGGTTAAAAGATTTAGAACTAAATCAATAAAGTTTGGAAGGGAATTTTAATCAAGAAATTCAACAAAAGTTCAAGTGCAAGATCTAAAAAAAAGGCAAAATAGAAAAACTGACCAAGTATCACTAAAAGGGCCAGACAAAAAACACTATTTTTTAAAAACAATTTCAGAAAAATAAAATCATACACAATCACACGCATGCTTAAAACACACAAAGCAAAGAAAACAGCTCTTGCAAGATCTGTTGTGCAATGTATAACAATTATGCAAATTAAAATATAAACCAAAAATGAAATGATATCTTTTACCATTCCACATCATCCGTAAGCATGAAAATAAAAATGAAACTGATAGAAGCGTGAGGGTTATTTTTTCTAAGGAGCACAACTGTTCTGCATTTATATTTTGCAATAAAAATGGTAAACAAGACGATTGAAATGAACTGCTATACTACAAACAAAAACAAAATGAAAATGGATATGGGTCATTCTTAAATTTGGGTCAATTTTTTTCCTGTCCCTGTTACATTTGTCATCTATGATTTTGATAATTCCGATGCACTCCTTAATGCAGTCGTCCTCCAAGAGTGATTATGAATAGCAAACTTCACTCGACCAAAAAGAAAGTCCCCCCCCCTTTTTGTGTAACTCAAAAACTACTGGGCACGTCTTGCTCAAATTACGACTGATCAGTACAGAAATTACTTAGCAATCCAGCCATACTCTTTCTTTGGCCCAAAACAGTGATAATGTGTACAAAATTATTCAATTTATGACAAATGATACCGGAAAAAAAGTTGCACTTTTGTATACATGCAAGGTGAGTGTGAACCACAACTTGCACGTGTACAAAAGTGCAACTGTTTTCGGTATCGTTTGTCATAAATTGCATAAATTCGTACACATTATCACTGTTTTTGACCAAATAAAGAGTATGGCTGGATTGCTAAGGAATTTCTGTACTGATTAGTCGTTATTTGAGTGAGAGGTGCTCAGTAGTTTTTGAGTTAGACAAAAAAGTATTGGAAGGGGGGACTTTCTTTTTTGGGTTGAGTGTACCTACGCAACAAATAAAGAATCATTTGAAGTCATTCTTAATGATATTTGAATGTCAGATCACAAAGTACCAAGGTAACAGGGACAGGAAAAATGTCACACTTTGGACCCTGAATTTTTCAAAATAACCGTGTATGACAGATAGGTTATGGGAATATATTGGGAATTGGGATAATGAATGAATGGGATGTAATGGGGCAACTGGTTTACATTAGCAAGGTGTGCAAGTTGTTACAATAGCATACCGGTAATTAAAAAAAAAGTGTGAAATGGTTTGCAAGACGCTTCGCAGCTGCGATGAATTCGGGCGATTCACAATGCAGTGCGCCACCTAGAGTATGCCACGGAGGGTTCATTTTTCCCAGTGCATTGTGGGAGATGGTCAAAAAAATTCGCAGCGCGGGACATTTTAAATCATTAGTTTTTTTGGTTAATAGTTTCGTAAGCGTATGATTCGAGGATCTGTTTGCACTTTTCTTTTCTTCTTATCAATATGTCTTTTTTTTTGTAAGGCGGCAGAACGCTCTGATCCAATCCATAACATATTAGCTCAAGTTGTCTACTGACACTCATTCAAATGGGCCATGTTTGTCGACCGTAAACTTGAAAAATTGACTCTCCATGGCAAACTCTTGGTGGCGCACTGCACTGCGAATCGCCCGAATTGCAGGGATAAGACACATTGCACTGCGATGCACCATAAGTTAATGACAATGAGTTTCATGAAATCGGGTGCAGGTTCACTTTGGTAGAGTACTTAAAAACATTGACTTTTTTGTGGTTGGACGTCTCATTCAAAAGTGAATAACTTTTATTTTCGCTAGAAAAATAGCAATTGCATAAAATAATCTTGAGGAAAATAGCACCGACATTCATCTTAAAGGGAATGTACATCATTGGCTTTTGCTGTACTTTTCAGAAATGAACTATTTGAGGGGTTAGTATAATAGATCAAATATTGTTACACTGACATGTTTGAAGTTTTGTGTTCGAAAATGCTGGAAAAACCAAGAAAAACAAAAATGTTCAAGTAGTCTGGTTCCCTGACTCCACTAAAGATGAAATAGACCAAAAATGCCGGAAAATTGTAAGGTAAGGGAACCAGTCTAGCTGGCCTGCACCCGTTCATGAACATGGAACCAATAGCAAACAAAATTTGGACTGAAAAAAAACCCCAGTAAATTTGGATCAGTAGTTGAAAAACAGTTAGGTTTTTCCAACGGTGGTCAGCCGACCGTCTTTGGAAATGTATACAAAAGTACCATTTTTTTGAAAATGACTTCACATCAGGTGCCATAATTTTACAGGATGCTTTAGACTGTCATTTACCAACATCCTAGTAAGGTATTTTCGTAAAAACAACGGTAGTTTTATTTTTCGATGTTTGCAAATGTTGTATATTCCCTTTCAGATAAAAGCAGCCACTTGTGATTCTCCCAGTTGCCAAGAATTGTCAGTTTTATAACTCAACTGGTTGACTGTTTGCGACTTACCTGAAGGGGCAACTTGACTCGTATCCCGAGCCTACCTCGACTGCTCCTCAACGCACGGTAGACGTTAGTGTCTAAGAGCTGGGCACAATACCCTGATGGAGAATGCAACGACCATCCATCACCGCTGAAAGCTGTCCAAAATACAGAAACATTACAAGGCTGAACAAAGAAATTGACTGGAGCGGGTTTGAACCTGCGACCTCCGGATTGCCGTTCCGGTGCTCTACCAACTGAGCTAGCCAGCCCTATGTTGGCGGTTGCCCACTTTGTCCATATTTTTGTTCAAGAGTGTTAGACGTCTTGCTCAAAGTGAAGATAGGACTGGTATCAAATACCCTGTGAAATTATTCCGCCTGAAATGGTATCGTTTGGAAGAAAATTAACATCGAATGTTGTTTCAATTAGGATGCTTTAGCAATGGAATTCACTTACGCGCCCCAAACAATTTTGCAAATGTTTTTTTTCCCGTTTTCTCAAAATGTATAGTATCCACTGAGCTGAAACTTCAACAGGTTAGTTGTTCTGCACCTAGCTACTTAAGATTTTCAACAATGACGTTACTGCAAACGAAAAAAAAAAAAAATTGACAAAAACCAAACGATCCTACGTAACTTTAATTCAGTTTCAGATTGGTTACATGTGTACATGGGCCATTCTATAAACTTAGGGTCCCAAAGTGTGACATTTTTCCTGTCCCTGTTACCTTGGTACTTTGTCATTTGCCATTCAAGTATCATTAAGAATGACTTCAAAGGATTTCTTATTTGTTGGGTAGGTAGTTTGCTATTCATAATCACTCTTGGAGGACGACTGCATTAAGGAGTGCATCAGAATTATCAAATCATAGATGTCAAATGTAACAGGGACAGGGAAAAGTGGACCCCAAATTTATAGAATGACCACATACCGGCAGTTGCTGGATAGAACTGGAGAGCCAATGCAGCAATGTCGGTGAAGAGAGAGGCTAATTCCCTGGGTTGGGTGAAGAGGAAGGCGTGGTGCCATTCAGGCTGGTCCTCAGGCTGACCCACTAGACTCACCTATATGACACAGGGGACAAGACCCTTATGACATCAATCACAAGTCAATCACAAGCCATCGGAAGATATCATATGACAATCACAAGTAAATCTGAAGCCAATCAGCAATTAATTGCAAGCCAACAGTAAGTTAATCATACGTCAATCACAAGTCAATTACAACTCAATCGCAAAATCAAACACCAACCAATCACAAGTCAATCGCAAGTCAAATCACAAGTCAAATCACAAGTCAATCACAAGTTAATCACAAGTTGATCATAAGTCAATCACAAGCAATCACAAATGAACCACAACCCATCAGAAGTCAATCCCAAGTCAATCACAAGCAATCACAAGTTAATCACAAGTCAAATCACAAGCCAATCACAAGTCAATCACAAGTTAATCTTAAGTCAATCACAAGCAATCACAAGTTAATCACAAGCCATCAGAAGTCATCATAAGTCAATTACAAGTCAAGCACAAGCCATCAGAAAGTCATCACAAGTCAATCACGTGCCAGTCACAAGTCATCACAAGCCCATAACAAGTCAATCACAAAACCGATCCACCCTGCAAGTAGACTTGGTTCCGGTGCCTACATTTTCAATTCTGACAGGGGGTCGGGAACCAGTCTATCCTGCAAGAACTGAATTATTGTCAGTCCACAAAAAATGTGAAATCTGTTCAGTAATTATTCCATAACTCATCATTTGGGATTTTTTGGTCAATGTCTCATTTAAAACGGAATAATTTTTGTATTGCTAGAAAAATTGCCAATCGGAAAAAAACAAGTTTTTCGGGAAGAAACTGGAAAATAGCATCTTAAAGCTATAGTCCATCATTTGCAGCCATCCGAAAAGTAACTGGCGTAATTACTGTTGAAAAACAAACTTGGTTGAAAGATAGTAAGGGAACTAAACTCCCTGTGAAATTATTCTTTCTGGGAAGCTGTCATTTTGAAGTAATCAACGCAAGAAGGCATTTCCAACGGTGATTCTTAAATTAGTAGTTCGTTTTGTTATTCAGCGCAGCGCGCACAAGTATTGGAACGACGCACACGCGCGCGCGGTTGTTATAATTCGTCGGATCAGTGCGCGACGCCGCGTATAGCTGCAATTCAAAACATGATTCAGTAACTTTTGATTTGAAATTGAGATCTTAGAATGCTGTTTTTCTCGGAATGTACAGCTGAAGCTTAGCTGAAACTTCATCAGGTTAGTTGCTCAGTATCCTTCATTAGATTTTGAACTCTTTTGTTGCTTCAAACGAACAAAATGCACAAATTACAAATGATGGACTATAGCTTTAAACTCACCTGCGGATGCCCCTCCTTTATTCCACCCTGGGGAATTAGAAATGACGAGGGGTGTGGGTCGGGGTACGCGACGGTTAGCGGCACCACGCTCAATGCTTGGAGATTGCGCTCTGCTGTCTGCTGCCTGAAAATGACATCGGAGAAAAATTATATACCGTGTGAAAAAAAACTGAGAGAAAAACTCGGAGCCAACACCCAGTGCTGGTGGGCATGATTTGACAACCGTACACGGCACAGGTAGTGACCATTATGCCATTTGATAAAGAATTTGTGTTTTTTTTTAAAGGGAATATACATCATTTGCTTTTGCTGTAATTTTCAGAAATGGATGGAATTGGGGGGTTGGAAATATATAGCAAATATAGTTACACTGACTTTTTTGAGGTTTTGGGTTCGAAAATGCTATAAAAACCAAGAAAATCAATCATTTTTCTGTAGTCTGGTTCCCTGACTCCATTTAAGAAGAAACAGAGCAGTTTACATATATTGGGGAATTGTAAGGTCAGGGAACCAGTCCAGCTGGCTTGTACCCGTTCATAGGTGTGCAATCGATTGCAAACAAGTGCGATGGTCAATTGGGGCCAGTATTTGAAAAAAAGCCAGTTTTTTCCAACGCTGATCGGCCGATCAGCGTTGGAAATTGATACAAAAATACCACTTTTCTTGAAAATGACAGTATACCAGGTGCCATGATTTTACAGGATGCTTTACACTGTCATTCACTAACAGTCCAGCAAGGTATTTCAAAATGATTTGGTAGTTTTATTTTTTGATGTTTGCAAATGTTGTATTTTCCCTTTAAGCCATGCTGTATAGTTTACAACGCACGACGTGGTTGCTGACCAAACGCTTGTCTCCTGCGATTACAGAGAAACAGGATGGTCACGTGGTACTTTGACGTCATGCGATCAGAATCTAAAAACACTGCACAAAAAAAAAAAAAGTCCACACTCATTGGAGGGGTCATAATTTTTTATCTGATCGTTTTACGATGACGTCATTTATACAGATCTTTGGGGAATGTTGTTAGCTACATTTTGATACCCCGTTTGCTACCAAAGACTGTAAATCATCCAACATTTAAAACGGTTTATGAAAAATTATGCAGTTTGAAAAGTTGCAGATTTAAAAAATACACGAGTGGAAATTGCAGCGTGACAATGTTACACTGCCCGAGACGAACGGCAGGGAATATTCGATTCAGTGCTTGCATGCATGGGATCATGCGAAATTAAATGACCCGCACTTTGTTCGGGCACTGTGCAGGCGATAGGGGGCAATTACGGGCGGGTGTGTTTGCGTCTAGCAATTTCTCTTCGTGTAATCTTTAAATTTGAAACTTTTCAAACTGCATCCTTTTTCAAAAACCGTTGTCAATCTTGGACGATTTACAGTCTTTGGTAGCAAGCGGGGTATCAAAATGTAGCTAACAACATTCCCCAAAGGTCTGCATAAATGACGTCATCATAAGACGATTAGATTCAAAATTATGACCCCTCCAATGAGTGTGGACTTTCTGTTTTTGCGATGTTTATTAACAAACTACTTCTTTTCAATGCTTTTAAGAAGGCATTTTAAACGAACCTATAGGTGAACAGATCAGGAATGAGTCTGGCAGCCGCTATGAGAGGCCCCACGGGATTGGCCAATTTTTCCTCCGCGCCTAGCAACAAGACCTCTAAACCATGGAAACCAAGTGCATCTTGGGATTGGAGCAAATTGTCGTCCAATCTCGTCAGGAGGGGCAGTCTTCGTAGAACCGAGATAAAAAGATGGCTTTCATCCTGAAAAAAATATAATTATTTTAAGGATTTGAAAATTAAAAATTATTGATGATATTTGGGTCATTGTATAAATTTAGGGTGCCGGAAAGTGTGACATTTTGCCTGTCCCTGTTACCTTGGTACTTTGTAATTTGCCATTCAAGTATCATTAAGAACGACTTAATAGATGTTTTATTTGTTGGGTAAGTAGTTTGCTATTCATAATCACTCTTGGAGGATGACTGCATTAAGGAGTGCATCAAAATTATCAAATCATAGATGTCAGATGTAACAGGGACAGGAAAAAAAGTGGACCCCAAATGTATAGAATGGCCCATGAAATTTACATAGTGATGTCTTTTTAATCAACCAACTTAATTCATCCAACTGAACTTCGGAATTTGGAGACCAAATTTAAGTTTTTAATCAAACTCAAGAAGTAATGATAAAAGTTGAACACGGAAATTGACTGGAGCGGGGTTTGAACCTGCGACCTCCGGATTGCCGCTCCGGTGCTCTACTTCCGACTAAATGGGGAACCGCCAACATAGGGCTGGATAGCTCAGTTGGTAGAGCACACGAACAGTTATTCGGAGGTCGAGAGGTTCAAACCCTACTCCAGGCAATTTCTTTGTTCAACTTTAAAAGAATTAATCTTGTCTTCAGTCAAACTAGATCGTCTCCCTCGATAAATCTTACCTGGACGAGGTCCAAATGATAGTGATGAAACGGTCGAAACTGATACAGGGCAAGTTTGTACTCTAGTATCGTAGCTCGGGAAGTCTCGTGGATTACTTGCAACATAACATCTGTGTAAAAAAAAAAATTCCTTTATTTTCCAATTTTATTCCTATTTTGAAGAACCTCGTCAAATTTATCACTAGACAACAGGCCACTATGGGTGCAACCTCGTCCCCAGTGCTTACTTTATTTCCAACCTCGTATCGAATAGTAAGCCCTGGATAGGAAACTTTCTTCCTGTGTACTGATTCGATACCGCAATTGGCTAGAAATGGTTATATATAGTGTACTTGGTGTTGTTATTCACAACGTGCAGTACGTGTTTTTGTGATCATTCATCCATGCCTTCTCAAAAATATTCATTTCTTTCCAATTTGTTCATATAATATGAAATGTGATACTGCATGTTGTCTCGTTAAGATCGTTACAGTTGAATTGAAATAAAATTGTGTTTTTTTTGTAACTCACGCCATGCTCGCTCTGCGACGAATTGATTCTGTTTTCACCCCAGACACCGCAAACAAAAACAAACGCAAACGTAATGCGCTGGCAGGCACCAGACTACTTCTCATTTGCATACCTGTTCAAAAATCTTGCACATGCAAATGATCCAATACCACTGTGAGAGAGCAGGTAGTGGTGGGCGCGTACTGCTCGACACCCTGGGGACGAGGTTGCTATGGGTGTTGTTTTCATGATTATTGCTCACTAATGGTGATTTTGCCCTTTGTTTACATTTATACCGAGATTAGCATGTGATTTGCTAATTTGAATGCAACCTTTGACCTTAAGCTCTTCAATTTGCATATTATGAAGAATACACATGCAAAGGATCATGGGGGATTTGGCCATAAGCCCCGCCCACCTTTGGTCTGGTTCCCTGACTTTTCCTCTACTCCCTTCATAGGTACAGTGATTTGGACAGCTTCCTCCCAGGTTGGGTTGGTGCTAGCAGACTGAGCACAGTGCGTAGCGCTGACTCCTTGCGTGGGCTCTTTGATTGACGAATCACAGATCCTATAATAGAACAAATACGTAATAAATATATTATTATATGAAAAAAACATATTTTAGAAAACCTACCAGAATTCGCGTATCTGATTCTTGTAATTAAGCAAAAATCTTTGTTATTGACTTGTGATTGAGTTGTGATTGAGTTGTGATTGAGTTGTGATTGAGTTGTGATTGAGTTGTGATTGAGTTGTAATTGACTTGTGATTGACTTGTGATTGACTTGGGATTGACTTGGGATGAACTCGTGATTGACTTGTGATTGACTTGTGATTAACTTGTGATGGACTTGTGATGGACTTGTGATTGACTTGTGATGGACTTGTGATGGACTTGTGATTGACTTGCGATTGACTTGCGATTGACTTGCGATTGACTTGCGATTGACTTGCGATTGACTTGCGATTGACTTGCGATTGACTTGTGATTGAATTGTGATGACTTGTGACTGACTTATGATAGATTTGAGATGACTTGTGACTGACTTGTGATTGACTAGTGATTGACTTGTGTTTGACTAATGACTGACTTGTGATGACTTATGATTGGCTTGTGAATAGTTTGTGATTGAAATTACCCTGCAACATAAGCTCTAGGCGCAGACCCATCCGGCAACCTGGGAAGATTGGCAGCAGCATGGACAATCACAAGCAACTCCTCCTGGTCTGGTCTGGAGATGTGATTCCGTCTCAGAAGATCCGAACCCCTCCTCGGATTGGTCTCTTTCCTAGGATGCTTACCCTAGGAAGATAAAAATTGAAAAGTGGAGAGATAAAAAGATTGAGAAATGGGTCATTCTATAAATTTAAGGTCCCCTTTTTTTTTCCTGTCCCTGTTTCATCTGACATCTATGACTTGATAATTCTGATGCACTCCTTAATGCAGTCGTCCTCCAAGAGTGATTATGAATAGCAAACTACCTACCCAACAAATAAACAATCTATTTGAAGTCATTCTTAATGATGCTTGACTGGCAAATTGCCAAGTACTAAGGTAACAGGGACAGGAAAAATGTCACACTTTGGACCCTAAATTTATAGAATGACCGCGGTTCAAGCATGGAAATTACTTTCCGTTACTGTCTACTAAAGTAACCTTTGCTCTATCAACTTGAACGAACAAGTTAACTCCTTGCATTCGTTGAGCCGTTAATCAGTTCAAAGTGGCGCCCTCTAGAGTAAGCGAGCCAATATAACGACTAAAACAATGAGCGTGCATTGTTTTCATTCCGTATAATAAACAGGCATGCAACGGGGAATTGAGAAAAAACAAGGACATTTCTGACCACACAAGACTTTGTACAGTGTTTTTCAATTTGTAATGGCTTTCATGAGAAGTAAAAAACGAGGAAATCAGCAGATCCGAGAAAAAGTTGCATGCTCGAATGAAGGATTTTGATTCTGTAACGGGCCAGTGCGTAAACAACAGAGGGCGCTTTTTTTACCACGTTCAAGAGCCCAGTGAACGGAACACACCGCGTGCGCGTACTGGTACGCACAATTCTGAATGTGCACAATGCCATATCGTCTTCGCGTGAGCGTCAGGCGTCGTCGGTTATGCATTCAAATGTCTCTGCCAGTGGTCTCCCCCAACTCTCCCTTTCTTACCGTTGAGGGGGTAATCACGAACGGGGGATTCAAGAAAATTTCCTCACAAAATTTTCAAGAGAGTTCTGTATTTTTACTTCTTCGGGGTCCTACGTGAAGGCATTCAGACAAAAAAAAGTTTGAGAATTGACAAAAGTCGGATATCCAAAATATATTATGCAAGACTCACCTCGTCAATCACAGGTCTCTGGGTAGGGAGGGATGTTGTCCTGGGTCTTGTCTCCGTCTCTGTCACCGGTTCCGGTGAGAGTTCTGGCACTGGTGGTGGTTCCTCAACAGGAGTTGGTTCTGGTGGAACCTAGAATCAAATATTTTTCAGGATGCAACAGAAAAAAGAATCAGAGAATGTGTTATCAAATCTTTGCCAAATGCTGATTTAAAAAAAGTATTATTTTAATTTTTATATAAGTCTGACAGCATAAACAATTCAGCAGGATTTGAATTTTTTTTTCATTTTTGTTCATGATTTAAAGTTGTTCTTTCTTTGCCGTTTTCAAATTTCTCTCCAAACTCGAGTAGACTAGGTACTTTTAAAAATACTTTGAACTTGTACAAAGAAATTGACTGGAGCAGGGTTTGAACCTGCGACCTCCGGATTGCTGTTCCGGTGCTCTACCCACTGAGCTATCCAGCCCTATGTTGACGGTTCCCCATTTTGTCAGTGTCTTTGTTCAAGGGGTGCTAGTCAGAAGCCATAAACCTGTATATGCCATGTAGCCAGGGATCACGTCCTAAACCATGACGCTAGAAACATTAACAATGCTGCAAACCGGGGAAATAGCAAACGGGGATCACTCAGAGAGATGGATTTTCGTAAAAAACTTTCAAGTGAACCACAAAGGGAAACTGACTGAGGTGGCAGGTTCGAACCCCGCTTCAGTCAATATTAAAAAAGAATTTAAGGCCAACCTCTGGTTCTGGTTCTATTTCTGGTTTTATCCTCAAACTCAGTTGGTAGTTCAGCCTTCCGCCAAGGACAGCCAAACCATCTTCGCTCAGCGATCTCCTCAGGTTCAGCGTTCCGCTGTGCTGGTACAAATCTCCCCCCTGGTTCGCTTTGAGAAGACTGATGAGTGGGGTGCTGGTGCGCGGATAGATGGTAAAAGTGGCCTGGCCGAGGTTGGAGATGGTGCTTTCTGCAAGGTCGTCTTCGGTATACGGAAAGATTTGCACTTGGAGTGTGATTTCGTGAGCGGCAGCGGGCGAGCAGAGACCTGAAAGTTAACAAATGTCGGTTTTAGTGATTTTTTTAGAAGTAAAGTCTGTCACAAGCCAATATGTCCCATCAGGCCGGCATTTATCTCCGGTTTCCTTGGCATGAAACAACTGAGAATATTTCTTTTCCCCCTGGATGGGATGCTAGTCCATCGCAGGCTACTCCCCAGCTAATGCCGGTACCTTTTTATACTCCTGGGTGGAGAGAGGCAAGTGGGGGGTGAAGTGGCTTGCCCAAGGACACAACATATGACCAGCAGCTGGATTCGAACCCCTGACCCTCCGATCACGAGTCATGAACCCTAACCACTAGGCCACACTCCCCCCCCCATATTTTGTTTAAAAGGTGATGAGAAAGAAACAAACGAAAAGTGGAATAATCTACATTAATTGCTTGCCTTTAGGAAGACTAAAAGTGAACTTGTTGTCCGTGAATGTTTGTGGCTCATTTTTGTTGGTCTCTGTTACGTCTACAGTGCTGGTTACCATAGAAACATCCTCAACTGACAGATCTTCGTCTTCACCAGGCCAAACCTTGACCTTGTATAAACAAATAATTTAAAAAGGTTGAAAACAACTAAACTACCATCAGTTGAAAGTTGAAAATAGGCACATTTGCTAATTTAATTTTAAAAAGACAGAAGACAGAAGTGACATTTTAATATTGCTATCCCAATGCAATTTTCAAGTTTTACCCCCCCCCCCCCCAAAAAAAGATTTTATTTTCAAATTGGAACTTTTCTAGCAATATAAGCGTGATTCATTTTTGAATGAGACATCCAAGGAAAATATCTACCCATGTTTATTTATGGAATAATTACTTCATAAATTTGAATTTTTTTTCCAGCCCAAAATTCCATGAGAAATATTTTTCACTTTTGATAACGAGGTCGCTGGGAAGTCAAGAGGCGGTGTAGCACAGCCAGTTGTTATTGTCTGGAGAGGTGTGTAATATTCACACTGCATAAACACTAAAAAGCCACCACAGCCAGTCAGTCAATGGACGCAACGTGGACACATGGCACAAGACGCACATACGCCAAACTGTAGTCCGAAAATTTGGGACTCTCAATACTTTGTACGAGAGTCCCAAAACTTAAGGTATTGAAAACATGCAAAACAAGAAAATAGACTGGCACCTGAAACAACCAGTCCAACACAGCTTCAGTATTGCATCAATCAACCATGCCAACAGAATTTAAGAAACATGTGGCATGAACCAGGAACAAGTCTCAATTTACTACACATTTCTCCATAGTCAAGCCACCAGACTATTGACACTGAATGAAGAGGTCAGTCTTTTCAAATAGTTGGACCATGGTTGGACATGTACCAGTCTAGTATTTAGCCCCATTTTGAAATCACTTGACTTCCCTCTCATGTGCAAAACATTGAAGAAAAGTCTCCTTTAAAAAGTGAATTGAGTCTGCAAACTTGCTTGATGCAATACTGATGACCTTTTCTTTGCCCCAGTGGAATTTTTGGAGAAATTTGCTGGCTAAAGTGTGAGTAAAGTGGGCCTGATTTAGTTTTGCATGTTTCAGAGCACTCCAGAGCCCTGTTTGGCCAAACTGGCGAAAACCTTTTTCTTCTGGGTCACTGTCAAATTCCCTGAGTTTTCCCCGATTTTTGGTGTTTTTCCCAAATTCTCTGAGTTTTCCCCAACTGGAAAAATGGAAACCCATTTTCAAGAGTTTCCCTGATTTCCAACCCCGTTTCAAGATTGCCACTTTAATATCTGACCTGCTTGAGTAACTCCTGCGCCTCATCTGCTGGACACTGAATAGACAGTTTAATGTAATAACTGCCGGGCGTATTAAAGGAGCAGTCCTTCACTTCGAAACTGAAGAGTAAATCCTTTTCCTCTATCCGTACGACATCCATTGTAAGGCATTGATCATTGTTGGTCTAACCTTTAACCCTCGAGGAAGCTACTGATGTTGAAAAATACGAGAAAAGAGTTCTGAAAAATTAAGCAAAAGAGTGGTGCCCTAAACTACACCATTACCCTATCATGACATCAGTATCAACCAAAAAATGGAAAGAAAATGTACATTTAAAAGACAAACATAACAAATTACAGAGATTTTTTTAAGCCTTCTTAAATTGCAAGTTACAAAATTAGGCCTATAAACGACAACGTCATGTTAGTGCCAGAAATCCACTGCAATACAAACTCTAGCTCTATCTTATTTATTCAAAAGGGAAAGAATGTAGTATCCAGACGCCACTTCTTTGGTTGTGTATAGGCCTATTTTCTATTCTAACAAAATTGGAAATGTTTCTCAGTCATGTCCCATTTTCATGTCTTTTCAACATTTTTGAAATGACTGGCCTTCATTGAGAATGAGATAATATATGATGGGCGTCAGGATGCAACATTCTTTCAACCAAATAAACAAATAAATAATACTGGATAATGTGATTGTTACAGCCAGAATGGCGCAAAAAATAATAAATAATATGGCACGTTCGCTTTGCGTTGTTTAGCAACGAATATGGATGAACATGATGAACAGAAAAAAATTCACAATCAATCATGTCCACAAATAAATCACAGCGATCCAATTGTGAACAAAATTAAAGGCAAATTTACCTGCTTTCACGACATCTATTATGACTCCAACTTATGGAGACGACAACATGGAAGGCTGCTCACCATGCCGTGGATGGAAAATACTGGCAAAAATGGAGTTTTGGACGGATTTGTTTGCACTGACTGAACGGACCAAATCGAAAAACAAACACTATTAACTTATAATACCACTTGAGGGCGCTCTTCAAGAAGATTGTCCGTCATGTGTGTTGTCTGTGTCGTCTGCAAATTAAATACTGAATGTGTAGGCCTACTGAAAACAACGATGGTGGAGTCGGGGTGGTGGTGGTGATGTTGGGGGGGGGGGTAACACCCCCACCCCCTCCTCCTCTGGACGAAAAGAACAAAGCAAAATTATGCAGGAAAAAAACTAGCACATGCTTGCTAACCCAGCTAGGAAGCTACCCCTCCCCCCTCTTTGAGCCAACCTGTATCCGCCCCTAGGACTAGGCCTAGTTGTTGAAATTATATGAAAAAGCTTTTATATTTCGCCTAAATTATAGAATTTGAAATTTCATGTGTTCACAGTGCAGTGTTTTTTAAGTAAAAAATGCGGGTTTGTCGTTCGCGAGAAAGGACTAGCGAATTTCTGGCGGGGGGGGGACAATTTTTTCACGGGGGGCTTGATGTTTCATTTAAAGTGAATAACTTTTGTATTGGCAGAAAAATATAGCTATTAAAAAAGCAAAAATATTTTTAATAGTCAAGGTACCACGTTACCATATAATGGTGACACTGACCGTGCCTGAATTTTGGCCCGGGTCACGTGGGTTAGTTCGTAAGTATGACGTCACTTCAGTTTAAACCACGCCCAAAAGAACCGGAAGTTAACGCAGCTTACGTGCTTATCCAATGGGCGCAAGTAATCAGTGGTGCGCGCGCGTGTATGACGTTTTTACTAACCAACCAGATAAAGCCATTCTGAAGCAATAGACCATTGTCCTGTTGCGGCCATCTTGACTTTTCCCCCTTCAAATCAATGTAACCAAAGCGATGCTGGAAGGAAAAATAGTCTGGTACTTTTTTGCACAAAAAAACACTATCATTCAGTACTGTTATTGGATACTGGGAACATGACTGAAATGGCGGCAGCATAAGGTCTATTGAAATAGAATGTTGAGCACTCGGGGACCAGCTTGACTGGGCTCAGCCTCGACTCCATGGGCGCGTGCGCGTTCCTTATTGCGCAAGGCATGATAGGAAACAACATGGCGCAGCAAGATCTCGTACCCATGGGAACGAGGTTGTTCTGGGCTCACCAGTATTGTCTTGTTTCATCTTGGTTTGATGTTCAAATCCCACATTCAGTGTCTTTCCAGTTGGAGGAACATTCTCAATGATCCAACATCGCAACTGTAATAGTGCGAAGGCCAAGGCTAGCGTCTCCCTCCGAACAATGGACCAATCTTACGGCACACGATCACCAACACAAACAACAACAACCGAACAAAATTGGACCAAGTCATTTATTCGGGAACTCGTCTTATTGTTTAAATCTGTGCCAGCCGAACAATGGGCATCAAGGCTGCCGCCCGCAAGCCGCACGGTGTATAAGCACCGCGCGTTCCTGATCCTGCTGCGTGGCCTCATTGTGTAGATTACAGGCATAATTATGATCTGAAATATTATCAAAAAGCTTACTTGGATTAAAGATCGTACTGGTACTAAACACCCCGTGAAATTATTCCGTCTGGCTTGCTGTCATTTTACAAGAAATCAAGAAATGTAGGTGATTACCAACGATCAGTCAATAAATTGCCTGATTTTTAAAATCGTGTTTCGTGATCGAAGCTGTGCATGGTTTTTCACTGTTTTCTCGAAAAGTGTAATATCCACTGAGCTAAAACTTCAACGGGTTAGGTTTTGAACATTCTTCTTTGGATTCCGAGTGGTGTTAAGGCCTATATTGGAAACGAACAAAAATGCATGAAAGAGAAATGCTCCTGTTTTCCTCTAAATATAAATGTGTTCAAAAGAAGGGGTCCCGGGAATGAGTGATTTTTGGTAAAGTATCTCAAATTCACGAAACATTTTTTTCCTGGAAATTTCACGTCTTGACATTTCTGTAGCCCTCGACCACATGAGGAGTTCCCATAAACCATAACTCTTCCCTTGGCTACATCTTTTTCTAAAAAAAACCATAAATACTGAACTCCGTTACTACGCACGCACAAATATTGTCCAATCAAAAGCTTGACATGTGAGATAATATGCCAGTCCATACCCGCAACTCTCACTATTCAATCGTTGAGGGCGTGCTTTTGCCCGGAATCCATATTGCACGATTTCTGAAGAGGCCCATTAAATTGATAGGTCGATGTCTCAATCAGTGACATGACTACCCCCCCCCCCCCCCCCCCGCGGAAAAATTGGTGCACCCCCAGATGCCCCCCCCCCTCAACTGTCAAATCATCACGATTTCATTGCTCTTTGCTTCATGATCCTACTATCTTTGCCATTATTTTATTTTATTTGGTGTCTGCGTATTTGTTTTGTAGTGAGTAAATGCAGAACTGATATTGAAAACTCGGTAAAAACAATAATGAATTGCTGAAATTAGGCATCACTGCGGTGCATTATGGTCGAGACGTTTGACCAAGGGTCTTTGATGCGTAAAATCCTTACTGTTGTACAGCTCTAATGCAGTCTTGAAAATTTATTTGCAAACACGTGAATGAAGAACAATAAACTTTCGCTCGTACCCCCCGCCCTGCAAACAGGACGTTGGGATACTCTGATGAATTCACGCTCTGATTGGTTGGATTTTGTGTGACCTGTGACCTGCACGTCATCAAGGTCATGACGCTGCAAGGTTGAAACGGCCGTTAAGACTGATTCAGTACTCTTTTATTCCAGATTAGAGATGTTTTTTTTTCGTTGAAAAGCGTAATAATGAAGGAAATTCTGTAAAACTTATCTGTGTTGTAAATTTACAATTCCCGTCACTTGCTCAGGCTCCGTTTCGAATCACGAACGGTCGGATTGCATTATGCAATGCTCATTATGTCCACATGGTCCGCAATGAAACAGAAATCACATCCGGTATGGAATGTGCGTATTTCTATGTGAAGTTTTCGGATAGCATTTGCGCACATTGTCTAACCGCTGCCGCTGCGGTCTTGAACAGCCGCAGCCAGGTGCTTTATACATAGGTCATAGGCCACTTCATTCACAAGATTCTGTGAAGCTCATCAGCGTATCCCAGCGTCCTGTTTGCAGGGCGGGGGTACGAGCGAACAATAAACTACGCCGTGAATTGTAAAAATGAAATTTTAGTGATTGCTTTGGCAGCTTCGGTCATAACCTGAATATTCGATCTATTATGACACGAGTCAAATTGATCTCTCTTGGTGACGTCTTTAAATTTATCACCAGTTTACAAGAATCTCTCTATAAGCTGATACAATACACAAATTACCGGTATTCATTCAACCTCATCTGTTTCGGAAATTATAGCATAATTCAAACCACGGGCCCTTAGGACATCCGGGTTTTTTTGTATTCATGAGAAGGCCTATCAAAAAACCGCAGGCGGTGGGCACCCGAAAGTCATTAAAACTGAAGTATGATTTAATTCTCGTTATTAAATATCAAATGCGAATCACGACGTAATGAAACCGATTTAACAGTAGGGTGACCAGAAAATGGGTAGATAATAAGGCTAGCGGTTTTCCCGTCCGCGGATTTCGGCCGTTCCGCCAATTACTTAATGGGGGAGCGGTACCGGGTATTGGGCTAGACAGAGCGGGGCTCGGTGGTCAGTGTTACGGTAGAGCGAGCAGCGTTCGGCCCGTTATTGCCCGGAGCAAGATAGCCGGGACTCGCCGTGGATTGAATACAAAATCGAACTAAGTAGCTCACGGTACGGACGTGAGAATTGCACGACTGTTTGACTGCAAAAAAAGGCTGTCATGTTTAGTGGTAAGACAGGTTGCTGAAGCACGGGGAAGGGGGGGTGGGGGGTGGAAGGGGGGGTGGAAGGGGGGAAGGGGGGTGGACGGGGGGACGACCTTTTTTTGCTCTTGTGCCCCCATTTTGTGTCCAAGCTCGGAAATTAGAGGGAAAAAGGATCTTTGGATTGTTTTGAAGCATGACTTCATCTGTTCAGTACTTCCTGTAATACTAGAAAAAGAGAACCCTAATCCCCCCCCTCCCGAAAATGGATCCCATAGACCCACAGATGCGGAGTCATCCTAGGAGAGGGTAGGACGCCCCCTTCTTTTGTCTGTTTTTCTGCAAAAAGTGGGAAATTGTTAGAAAATGTGGACCTGTTTTCCCCATTATATAGAAATCAAAGTTTGCGTGCAAGGCAAGCATGGATTGGAATTATAGGCCAATGTAGCCGAAAACAATTATTATGGATCGATAAAAATGAATCCTTGTCGGATTAGGGGTTGATATTTCCGCCCCTCGCCCCCCCCCCTCCACGCCCCGCCCATCCCCCATGGACCTACCTACGTCACTGATCACAATCAACATGTTTATCATTGTACAGGTGGATGCCAATTATTCAACTGTAATTGGGACGGTACTTTCTGTAGTTGGAATTGCCTATCTAAAGTCGGGGCCAATGCTATAGTTGGGACGCAACTGAGCCAGTCCGATGTGGCACTTCAGTTGCAGTGAACAGCGCCGCCAACGACCATTGAAGTCGCGCTTCGGAGCGTGCTTTCAGAGAATGCATGCATTATTCATTGCACATTGATTACAATAAAAAGTGTCCACTTATACACAGTAACAAACCCTTTTCAAAGCATTCGAGAAAATCGAGTACCCCAACAAAAAGTAATAATTCACCACTTTATTAATAATGGAGGAAGGGGTCTAAAAATGTGCCCTATCTTTGAGAACATTTGATAGTTTTTTAGTCAAATGTGTTTCTCACGTCACGGCAGGATTGCATTGTTTTTCTCGACGAAAACAAAATAATAAGAGACAAGGATTTTGTCAAATGTCTTCCTTCATGTACTTAACTGAATGTATCCTTTTTACTTGCAGCAAGCTTGTTTATTTCATGAAAGTTAAACTGTTTGTCATGCGGAGATCTTGCCGAAAAAGGAAAAAAAATCACTCCGCCTTTCTTTATAAACCTGTACCTTCAGTAAGTCGAAAGTATGAAAATGTCTTTTCGCGAGTTTTTCTGTGTTAGTT